CAGGTGATCCACCCGCCTCAACCTCCAAAGTGCTGGTATTACAGGAGTGAGCCGTTGTGCCTGGAGATTTTTTTTTTTTTTTTAATTTATAAAGAAAAGCTCATAATTTCACAGGCTATAAGGAAGTATGGCTGGGGAGGCCTCAGGAAACTTATAGTCATGGTAGAAGGCCAAGGAGAAGCAGGCATATCTTACATGGCCAGAGCAGAAAAAAGAGAGCCACTGGTGAATTTTATTAAACATTTTAAAAAGAGGTAATACCAATTATTTTAAAATCTCTCCCAACAAATAGAATATGAGGGGAAAATTCCCAACACATATTAAAAAGTTTACATAAAGGATGAATTGCTGTTAAAAAATAATAAGGCTGGTACAGTACCTCATGCCTGTAATCCCAGCACTTTGGGAGGCCAAGGTGGGCAGATCACCTCAGGTCAGGGGTCTGAGACCAACCTGGCCAACATGGTGAAACTCCATTTCTACTAAAATTAGCTGGGCATGGTGGCAGAAGCCTGTAATCCCAGCTACTTGGGAGGCTAAGCCAGCAGAATCACTTGAATTCAGGAGGTGGAGGTTGCAGTGAGCTGAGATTGCCCCACCGCACCCCAGTCAGGCAACAGGGAGAGACTCTGTCAAAAAGAAAAAAAATTAGCTGAGCGTGGTGGTGCATGCCTATAATCTTACCTACTCAGGAGGCTGAGGCAGGAGAATCGCTTGAACCCAGGAGGCAGAGGTTGCAGTAAGCCAAGATCACATCACTGCACTCTAGCTTGGGCAACAGAGTAAGACTCCATCTCATGCACAAAAAACGAATCTATCCCATGTTTATGGATCAGAAGACTTAATATTGCTAAAATGGCAACACTTGCCAATTGATGTGCAGTATTAGCACAATCCATATCATAATCTCCAGCTGGCTTTCTTGCAGAAACTAACAAACTAATCTTAAAATACACATGGAAATTCAAGGGACTCAGAACTACCAAAACAAAGTTGCAGGACTCACATTTCTTAATTTCCAAACTTATTACTAACACCACATTAAGACAGGGTAGGACTGGCATAAGAATAGGCATTACAGATAACGGAATAGGATTGGGAGATCAAAAGTAAGCCCTTATATTTATGACTAATTTTCATAAGCTGGCTAAGATGACTGAATGTAGAAAGAACAATCTTTCTTTGTTTTGTTTTGTGTGTCTTTTTATTTTATTATTATACTTTAAGTTCTGGGATACTCTGTGCTCTCCCTGTTGACATCCTCAGCTCTTCACCACCACAGGCCTCACACTGTATTCCCTGTGGCTCATGCCTGTGGACACTCTATAGCGATTTGCTCTCAGAACACTGTTAACTAATTGTCAAAAATGCCAGCTATTGGCTGGGCGTGGTGGCTCACACCTGTAATACCAGCACTTTGGGAGGCTGAGGCAGGCAGATCACCTGAGGTCAGGAGTTTGATACCAATCTGGCCAACATGGTGAAACCCCATCTCTACTAAAAATACAAAAATTAGCTGGGCATGGTGGCGGGCACCTATAATCCCAATACTTGGGAGGCTGAGGCAGAAGACTTGAACCCGGCGGGGGGAGGCAGGGGGGCGCGGAGGTTTCAGTGAGCTGAAATTGCACCACTGCACTCCAGTTTGGGCGAAAGGAGCAAAACTCCATCTCAAAAAAAAAAAAAAAAAAAGCCAGATATTGAAGCTCAAAGTGTGATCTTTTACAGGAGTGTTGAAGTTTTAAATGGGCATTCTCAGAGCTCAAAAATCTTTCAAACACACAAAGCTAGACAGTAAAAATTGTTAGCTCTGTGAAAATCAAAGTGCAAAGCACTTAATAGCAATAGTTGTTTCTTACTGTGAACCATGTGTCAGGCACCATGCTAAATATTTCACAAACATTAATTCACATACTACTACAGCAGCTCTGTGGGGCAGGCACTGAATCAAGCCCATTTCACAGGTAGAGACACTGAGGCTGAGCTTGGTAATGGTCAGGGCATGATTTGAACCAGACGCTGTGCTTATATACCTCCAAAGTCAGGCTCTTTTTCACCCTGCAATGAATGTTTTCTTTTTTCTTTTCTTTTTTTTTTTTGAGATGGAGTTTCGCTCTTGTTACCCAGGCTGGAGTGCAATGGCGCGATCTCGGCTCACTGCAACCTCCGCCTCCCGGGTTCAGGCAATTCTCCTGCCTCAGCCTCCTGAGTAGCTGGGATTACAGGCACATGCCACCATGCCCAGCTAATTTTTTGTATTTTTAGTAGAGACGGGGTTTCACCATGTTGACCAGGATGGTCTCGATCTCTTGACCTCGTGATCCACCCGCCTCAGCCTCCCAAAGTGCTGGGATTACAAGCTTGAGCCACCGTGCCCGGCCTCTTTTTTCTAATATCTCACACACACACACAAAGTATATATACATATATATGATTTTGTAGAGACTGACAGGGTCTATGCCCGCTAATCCTTTTCTTAAGAGACAGGGTCTCACTATGTTGTCCAGGCTGGTCTTGAACTCCCGGGCTCAAGCAACCTACCAGCCTAAGCCTCCTAAAGTGCTGGTATTACAGGTATGAGTCACCGTGCCAGGCCTCACATACTAGGTTTTAATCAGGTCTCTTAGTTTGCAGCTAGGATCAAGTCCTCTCTAGTCCCTCTGATTGATTCAGCCGCAAACAATTATTTTGATCACCTGCTATGCACCCATGGTGTTTTTGGCACTAGGAGTCCTGCTGTGAGTGAAGCTGAGCTCCTGCCTGTGTGGAGCCTGGGCCACATGAGTCTCCCAGCTGTGCTTTGAAGTCACTATCAAAAGTCCTGGCACTGAAGAGTTTCATGTGCCTGATGCTAGGGCAAGATGCCAAATTCCACATTTGCCTCCAACAGGAACAAATGTCTGTTTCCACCAAGCCCCCATCCCCCCACCCGTTCAGGTGACTCCTGTTGTGAGTCTTTTCATACCATCTCCCCTTCACCCTCAAGTGCCACCCCAACAGGCAGAGGTGGGGAGCTGGGTTTGGAGACTCTGGTCTGATCCTTAGGTGAACTCCTCTCCCCTGATGTTGCAGGAGAATGGGTGCTCAGATGGAGAATCAGCACTCTTCTCAGGATTGGAAGGTGCTGTGGCTGCGGGGAGGCTGCATTATGTTCTGGGCTGTGAGCTTTTCCAGAATTCCACTCCACAGGTACATATCTGCTGTGTCTGTATTTCTTGGTATAAATCAGATGTCCCTGAGTTCTCCAGTCTCAAATGTCTATGTAAGGTGTCTTGCCCCATCTGAGGATTCTGGAAGTCTAGTCTGTTAGGAGGCCGCTGAATATGTGCTTGTCTTGTTGGACCTTCCAGGAGGTTGCCTAATGTCTCAGTTCTCTTTTGTTCTGTGTTTCTTGATCTAGGCGATTGCTCCATTTTCTGTACATCACCTCCTGCCACCTCTTCTCCAGGGTAATGCTGTTTGCAACACAGTTCCTTGTCTCGGTTTCCCAAGCATCTTAGTTCTGAAGGTGAGATATGGGCCTGTACGGGATGTCGGGGACAAAGGCTGGGTACCTCCACAAGTGACTCTCCCCAGCTCCCAGCCAGCTGACAACTGCAGGCACTGATGGTCTCTTTCTTTCCTTTTCTTTATCTGCATGCTGGTTTCCAGGCCTTTGCTCACCCTGAAGGAGCCTTATAGGACCCAGTAGTTTCACTCCTAGGGAGCTTTTATATCCTGTATCATTTTTCTAAGTTTAAGATTCCTTTTGTTTCCTCATTAATTTGGCGGACCCTTCTGTCCAGAACTTGTGGGATGTCATCATCTTCATCATGTTGGCAGATACTCCAGCATGGCCTGCCGGCCGCAGTCCACAAGCTCACCGGCTCCGGTGAGCTCACCGGCTCATTCGCGCTCCCGCCAGCCCCAGCCGGAGCCAGACAGCACATCCTCGCAGCGGACACCGTCTGCTCCCTGAAAAGCTTGCTTTTCAAGAACTGCCTCTACCTCTGAACCTCAGCTTAGATCCACCTTTCTCTTTTTTCCTTTCTTTCTTTTCTTTTCTTTCTTTTTTTTTTTTTTTTTTTTTTTTGAGACAAAGTCTTGCTCTGTCGCCCAGGCTGGAGTGCAATGGCGCGATCTCGGCTCACTGTAACCACCGCTTCGCGGGTTCAAGCGATTCTCCTGCCTCAGCCACCCGAGCAGCTGGGAATACAGGCACCTGCCACCACGCCCAGCTAATATTTATACTTTTAGTAGAGGTGGAGTTTCGCCATGTTGGCCAGACTGGTCTCAAACTCCTGACCTCAAGTGATCCACCCACCTCGGCCTCCCAAAGTGCTGGGTTAACAGGCGCAAGCCACTGCGCCCAGCCGGATCTGCCTTTCTCTTACAGGATTCCTAGACACTTAATTTTTTGGTTTGGTTTGTTTCTTTTTTGAGACAGGGTCTCCACTCCGTGGCCCAGGCTGGAGTGCAGTGGTGCGATCCCGGCTCACTGTAGCCTCCGTCTCCCAGGCTCACGGGATCCTTACACCTGAAGGCCTCCCGGCCTCCCGAGTAGCTGGGACCACAGGCACCCCCCCACCACACCTGCTACTTTTTAAATTTTTTGTAGAGCGAGGTCTCACTGTGTTGGCCATACTGGTCTCACATTCCTGGCCTCAAGTGATCCCCCCGCCTTGGCCTCCCAAAGGTGGAGATTACAGGCGTGAACCACCGCGCTGGCCTGAGCCTCAGTGTTTGAACCATCTAAGTTTACAAGCATTGACACACGCACCATCTTGTTGTTTTTCTAAATCTCACGTTATTGTTTGTATACTGGTTACCTGTAGTTGGCTTTGGAGCTGGAAGTAGACAGAGCTAACATCGGTTTGCACACAGGAACCGAGGGAGGTCGCAAAAAGGTAGCGCGAGCGGCCTCGGTGGCCCACAGCAACCTCCCAGGCGTTCGGGAGTGAGGGGGTCTGCGACTGCGCGCGCGCGGTCACGTGGCCCGGAGGACGCGGCGCAGGCGCAGGGAGAGGCGGCTCCTTGCTGGGTGAGCGCGCTGACGGGGGCGCGGGGGCGCCGGGGCGCCGGGGTGGTGGGAGAGCGCTGCTAGCTGAGCTGGAGTCCCGGCTCCAGTACCCGCCACGGACGCTGAGAGGGTGCCCGGGGTCAGACCTGCCAGGTGGGAACCGGCAGTGGGGAGGATGGGGAGGCGGGTTGCGCAGATTCGCGGAAACGCTGCAGGTTGTGGAGAAACTGTCTAGACTGGCTCCTTTTCCCTGAATGCCAGTTTAGTGGCCTCGTCTGATGAGGAAAAAATTAAGAAATAGATTTCAGAGACCCTATTTCTCTCTCTCTCCCTCCTCTCCTCCTTTTTTTCTTTTCTGTTCATTTTGAGCCTTACGAAACTATAGTGCCAGTATCCTGGTTTGGATCCTGAAACAAAAAGAACACTAGTGAAAAAACTAACAAAGGTTGTGGTTTAGTTAATAGCATGTAGCCATGTTAATGTCTTAATTTTGATAAATTGTACACAAATGTTAACATTAGAGGAATTTGGGTAAAGGGTATACAGGAATACAGGAATTCTTAGCACTATCTTGGCAACTTACTGTAAATCTAAAATTATTCTAAAATGAAAAGTTAAAATCCTAAAGCAAATCCTGGTGCGTTAGTTCACCAGGAAGGACTCAAGTTAGTTCCTCTTTGCTAAGGAATTAGGCATCTGTTTGACCAACTTGTTTGCTAAGGCAGAGTTGTCAGGCTACTGAGTGTAGATTCTTCTATCCAAAGGTTTCCGTGCAGGAATCGGTTTTCTCTTTCGATTCTATCAAATATCTTTGGAACATCTGTTATGCATAAGCAAACAAGACACACACAGTCTCTGCACAAGGGAATATACAGTCAATCTAGGTCAGGTAGGAAGTAAGCACTATTAAAAAGGTGCAGTGAAACCTCTCTGAACAGGGAAGACTCATGTAGAAGAAATCATATCTGGTCCTAGGGAGTCAGGAAGGCTGCTGTAGGGAGTGCTGTCCTGAACTGAGGGGGGCCTGAGAGGAGACAGCCTTCCTGGGGTGAAGAATGCCACCAACAGAGGCTTGCAGCTGACCAAGCTGATCTGAGGGAGGAGCCCTGGGAGCAGCTGCAGTTCCTCTTACGTGGAAACAGACTACATCCAGGGAGTACTGCCAGATGAAACGGAAGGTGAAAACTGGAGCTCTGTTGTAAAAAAAAAAAAAAAAAAAAAAAAAAAAAAAAAAAAACTCCTTTTAAAAAGTTGAATACTTTATTTATTTATGATTTATTTATTTGGAGTTTCAGCTGGGCGTGGTAGCTCACGTCTGTAATCCCAGCACTTTGGGAGGCTGGCAGGTGGATCACCTGAGGTCAATAGTAAGACCAGCCTGACCAACATGGTGAAACCCCATGTCTACAAAAATACAAAAATTAGCTGGGCGTGGTGGTGGGCACCTGTATTCCTAGCTACTTGGGAGGCTGAGGTGGGAGAATCACTTGAACCTGGGAGACGGAGGTTGCAGTGATCCCAGGAAGCGCCACTGAACTCCAGTGTGGGCAACAGAGCAAGACTTGTCTTAAAAAAAGAAAAAAGAAACAGTTTTCGCTCTTGTTACAATGGCATCGTCTCAGCTCACTGCAATGATCACTTCCCAAGTTCAATAGATTCTCCCACCTCAGCCTCCCAAGTAGCTGGGATTACAAGTGCCTGCCACCATGCCCAGCTAATTTTTGAATTTTTATTAGAGGCAGGGTTTCACCGTGTTGTCCAGGCTAGTTTCAAACTCCTGACCTCAGGTGATCTGCCTGTCTCAGCCTCCCAAAGTGCTGGGGTTACAGGTGTGAGCCATCTCACTTGGACTAAACTTTTTTTTTTTTCTTTTTTTTTGAGACAGAGTTTCACTCTTGTTACCCAGGCTGGAGTGCAATGGCGCGATCTCGGCTCACCGCAACCTCCGCCTCCTGGGTTCAGGCAATTCTCCTGCCTCAGCCTCCTGAGTAGCTGGGATTACAGGCACGCGCCACCATGCCCAGCTAATTTTTTGTATTTTTAGTAGAGACGGGGTTTCACCATGTTGACCAGGATGGTCTCGATCTCTTGACCTCGTGATCCACCCGCCTCGGCCTCCCAAAGTGCTGGGATTACAGGCTTGAGCCACCGTGCCCGGCCCGACTAAACTTTTTTTAAAAAGGAAAACAGGGTGACAATAACTACAATTATACATGCCATGGGAGCCATGGAATGTTTTAGAGCAAGAGAGGGACATCATTTGGTTTGTGCTTGGATATTATTGACTTGGCACCAGTATGTAGTTTGGTTTGAAGTAGCCCAAATAGGGCCAGCCCAGGAGAATTAGAGAAGTTCAACCAGGGCAGTGAAATTAATGTACAAAGAGTGACACGATTTGGGAAGATTTTTGTGGGTCTAGAAGAGATAGCAACTGAAGGCATGAGAGGGCCAAAGAGGAAAAAACAATTCCAAAGTTTTGCACCTGAGTGTTTTGGAGCATGGTTGATGCATTTGCAGAAATAGAGGACTCAGGAGGAGACCTGGGTTGGGGGCTGGGAGTGTAGTAAGTTTGTTTTTGAACAAGATGTGCTTGGATTGCTGGCAGGATATCCAGCTGGAGATGTGTATTTGAAAGTAGTAAGAGAGAAAGCCAAACATATACAAGGGACAGGAAGAAGAAAAAGAGCCTGAGAGGACAGATATGAAGCAGCCAGGGAAGGAGGAGGATCAGACTTCTATTTCTTGGGGCTTTGGGAGCCAAGGTGGACCCAGGACCTGGACTTTGTGAGTCAGGAGTGTCACAGCTCCTGCAAAGGTATAGGAGGCTGAGGAATGAGACTTGATCTTGGATTTAGCTATTAGTAAGTCATTGGTCATCTTTCAAAGAGTTGTTTTAGTGGAAAAGTGGGATGACTGCTAACAGACTGTAATCTATTCATCCTAAAGCCTTTCCCAAGTGCCCAGAGGACTGGGCAAACAGCCAGAAATATTGTTACTAGTTCTGGCTCTACTGCAAACTATCATTGTATTTGGGGCAAGTCATGTATGCCTGGACTCGAATAGAAAAAAATACAACCCAGCCAGGTGCGGTGGCTCATGCCTGTAATCTCAGCACTTTGGGAGGCCGAGGCAGGAGGATCATCTGAGGTCAGGAGTTCAATACCAGCGTGGCCCACTTGGTGAAATCCCTTCTCTACTAAAAATACAAAAATTAGCTGGGTGTGGGTGGTGGGTGCCTGTAATCCCACCTACTTAGGAGGCTGAGGCAGGAGAATCGATTGAACCCTGAAGGCAGAGGTGTCAGTGAACCAAGATTGCATCACTGCACTCCAGCCTGGGGACAGAGAAAGAATCCCTCTCATGAGTGAATGAATGAATAAACAAACCATCGACTGGATATGGTGGCTCACACCTGTAATCCCAGCATTTTGGGAGGCTAAGGCAGGTAGATCACAAGGTCAGGAGATGGAGACCATCCTGTTCAACATGGTGTAACCTGTCTCTACTAAAAATACGAAAAAATTAGCTAGACATGGTGACACACACCTGTAGTCCCAGCTCCTCAGAAGGCTGAGGCAGGAGAATCGCTGAAACCCAGGAGGCAGAGGTTGCAGTGAGCTGAGATGGCACCACTGCACTCCAACTTGGAGACAGAGCAAGACTCTGTCTCAAACAAAACAAAACAAAACAAAACAAAAAAAATCCATCTCCACTTCTGGTTGGCTCTGTTAACTCAGTCTCTATACTTCAGTTTAATTTTCTATATGTAATAAACAATAATAGTATCTTGTAGAGTGTTTATAAATATAATAATCTAAAGGTACTTAAAACTGTCTAGCACATGGAAAGCAGGCAACAAATGCTACATATTATTATATATCATTTTTTGTTTGAGGGGGTGGGATGGATTCTTGCTCTGTTGCCCAGGCTGGAGTGCAGTGGAGTGATCTCAGCTCACTACAACCTCTGCCTTCTAGGGTCAAGCCATTCTCCTGCCTCAGCCTCCCAAAGGTGGGAGCCACCACATCCAGCCTAGTATATACTCTTATTAGCATAATGTCTGGGAAAGTCATCCGTGTTGTTGCATATATCAGAAATGCGTTGTTCTTTACTGACAAATATATTCCGTTGTATGGACATACCAGAATTTCTTTGTTTTACTGCAAATGGACACTTGGGTTGTTTCCAATTTTTGACAAATTGAGTGATGTGTGAACATTCATGGTGAAATTCCATCTCTACTAAAAATACGAAAAATAGCTGAGCATGGTGGCAGGCACCTGTAATCTCAGCTACTCGGGAGGCTGAGGCAGGAGAATCGATTGAACCCTGAAGGCAGAGGTGTCAGTGAACCAAGATCACACCACTACACTCCAGCCTGGAGAAAATATTCACACATCTTTGTATGGACAGAGGGTTCTATTTCTCTTGAGTAAATCCTGAAGAATCCAGTTGCCGGTCACATGTTTATAGGAAGATGTCAAATTGTTTTCCACAGTGGTTGTACCGTGGTTTACTCACACCACCAGTGTATGAGAGTTTGAGTTACTCCACATCCTCAGCAGCACTTGGAATTGTCAGTGCTGTGCATTGGAATCTCACTGTGGTTTAAGTTATAGTTGCCTGATGACTAATGATGCTGAGCATCTTTCCATTCAAGTATCTTCTTTTGCGATATATCTGTTCAAATCTTTTAAGGGTCCTTGTTTTTAACATTGAAAATACGTGGCATTTTGACCCTAAAAATGACAATTCCTTAGCACATGGTCAGATTTATTTGGTATCTACATAAGGTTTTAATAGTGGAAGAATAGAGAGATCCCCACAACAAATGCAAGACAGATTAAATTTCTTTAGAAGTTTTGGCAAGCAACTACTTAAACAGCAGGATATTTAGAGGAAAAATGTCAGATATGTTTACCCCACACCCCACTTTTTTTTAAATGAACCTTGAGAGAAGGATGAAATATTTCTAAATAGTTGTAGCAAAGCAACTGTTTTGAAATGCCTGGTGGTGAAAGTCCCTCTTAGCTGCACTCTGAACTGGAGGCACAAGGTTGAGCATTTTGGCTTCTCCTGGCTGCTTCATGTCACGAGGTAGGTGACTGGGCTGGTCTCCGCACAGGGTGGGCTCAGTGATGCTAGTTGATCTGTAGCCATTTTTACCAGTTTTCTGCTGGGAAGAAAGGCAGATGTAACTCCTCTGTGTCTGGTGTGGAGTCCTGCTAGGGTGCTGGTTTTCTTTTTCTGCCCTAGAGGCAAGTACAGTCTCACCAAACCTGCTCTGGATGGCCTGAGATTGGATAGGAGCTCCGTGGGTTCCACATTGGTTGATTCAACCAACCAGGATTTAAAATATTTGGGAAAAAAAAATCCACAGTGTTCCAAAAACAAAGACGAATTTGCAGCACTCAGAGTACAAGATTAAATCCACAGGAATGAAGCCGGGCACAGTGGCTCATGCCTGTAATGCCAGGACTTTGGGAGGCCGAGGTGGGTGGATCATCTGAGGTTGGGAGTTCGAGACCTGCCTGACCAACATGGAGAAACCCTGTCTCTACTAAAAATACAAAATTAGCCAGCTGTGGTGGCACATGCCTGTAATCGCAGCTACTTGGGAGGCTGAGGCAGGAGAATCACTTGAACCTAGGAGGCGGAGATTGTGGTGAGCCGAGATCATGCCATTGCACTCTAGCCTTGGCAACAAGAGCAAAACTGTCTCAAAATCAATCAGTCAATCCACAGGAATGAAGTAATGTATAGGCATTGTATTCGATATAAGTAATTTAGAGACAATTGAAAATATAAAGTACACAGGAGGATGTGCCTAGGTAATATGTAAATACAATACTTTTTTATTAATAAATTTTTAAAAATTTTTTGAGACAGAGTGTTGCTCTGTAGCCCAAGCAGCTGGAGTGTCAAGGCACAGTTATGGCTCACTGCAGCCTCCACCTCCCAGACCCAAACATTTCTCCCACCTCAGTTTCCTGAGTAGCATGTGCCACCAACTAAGTTTTAAAAATTTTTTTGTAGAAATGGATTCTCACTTTGTTGCCCAGGCTGTTCTCAAATTCCTGGGCTCAAGCAATCCTCCAGCTGTAGACTCCCAAAGCCTTGGTATTACAAGTGTGAGCCACCATGCCTGGCCAATAATTTGAGGATACAAGAAAATCCCTAGGGGTCCTGGAACCAGTTTGCTTTGTATTCCTTAGAGTGATTGTATTTCAGTTTGTTCGTTTATTCCTCCCTTCCTTTATTCAGTTATTAAACAAGTATTTATTGAGTGTGGTGTATATCTGCTCCCCACCCCAACGTGGTGCCTCACTCCTATGATCCCAGCTATTCTGGAGGCTGAGTTAGGAGAATCACTTGAGCCCATGAGTTGGAGACCAGCCTGGACAACATGGCTAGACCTCATCTCTCAAACAAGCAAATAAAAAGACAAAACCCTTCTCTCCTTCTGGAACTCCCATTCTACTGCAGGCCATCCAGAGCAGGTCTGGCCTATGGTGGGGAAACGCTGCGCTGCCCTCCCTGTCCAGGTGCATTACAGGTCAGGGCCGCGCCACCTTCCGCCACTCTGGACTCCCGCTTTTGCACTGGCTTCCCCTTTCTTATTGGCCCTGGTTTTAGTGGTGGGATTTTAAAAATGGATGAAATATGGAGGAGTGTGCTAGAAGGTCGTAAGTGCTAAGGAGAAAAATAAAACAGAGAAGTGGGATAGGGAAGAGAGTTTGCAGTTTTGGAAGGTGTGGCAGGAAAGGCCCCGCTGAAAAGGTGACACTAAAGACACAAAGAGAGTGAGGAACCAGCTGTGCAAATACAGCAGCCTTCTCCTTATCCATGCTTTGGCCTTCCAGGTTTCAGTTACTGGAGATCAACCACTGTAGAAAAATATTATATATAATAAGATATTTTCTTTTTCTTTCTTTTTTGAGATGGAGTTTTGCTCTGTAGCTCAGGCTGGAGTGCAGTGGCTTGATCTTGGCTCACTGAAACTTCTGCCTCTCAGGTTCAAGAATTCTCCTGCCTCAGCCTCCTGAATAGCTGGGACTACAGGCGTGTACCACTATATCTGGCTAAAAAAAATTTTTTTTTGAGATGGAGCCTCTCCCTGTCACCCAGGCTGGAGTGCAGTGGCACAACCTCGGCTCACAGCAACCTCTGCCTCATGGGTTCAAGCGATTTTCTTGCCTCAGCCTCCCGAGTAGCTAGGATTACAGGCCATTGTACCCAGCTAATTTTTGTATTTTTAGTAGAGACAGGGTTTCACTATGTTGGCCAGGCTGGTCTCGAACTCCTGGCCTAAAATGATCCGCCTACCTCGATCTCCCACAGTGCTGGGATTACAAGCATGAGCTACCTTGCTCAGCCTCATTTTCTATTTCTGTACAGACATAACTAGCAGAGGTTTTGAATTAGGGAAAGTGAATAGGTAAGAGGGAAGAAAGTGCCTCTCCTTCCTTCTCTCCCCCTCTTTCTCAAATCGTGCCAAACCTGTGTTCAGAACACTCCACTACAGTAAAAATCTTTCAATCACCTAAGACTTTACAGTCATCTCTGACCTCATGCCTGTGTACACTGTTTTTTCCTATACATATGCGTACCTATATATGTACCTGTGATAAAGTTTGTGGCTCTAAAAAAGTAGAAAAGTTAGCCCAGTGTGGTGGCACATGCCTGTAGTCCCAGCTACTCGGAAGACTTAGGCAGAAGAATTGCTTAAGCCTGGGTGGTACAAGTTGCAGTGAGCTGAGGTCACACCACTGCACTCCAGCCTGGGTGACAGAGCAAGATCCTGTCTCAAAAAGAAAAGATAAGAAATAGAAAATGAACCAGGTGGGGCTGTAGGAGAGACTGTAAGTGCCTTGAGCACCTGAAGTAGATAAGGGCTGAGAAGGGATGGATGTAGAATGCTCCTCTAACATGAATGCTCTTAGTCACTGGAAGTCTCATTTTCAGAGACTTCTGAATTTTGTATTGCTCTAAAGTTTGTGTAAGTAAGACCAGGTGCGGTGGCTCACACCTGTAATTCCAGCACTTTGGGAGGCTGAGGCTGGTGGATCACCTGAGGTCAGGAGATTGAGACCATCCTGGCTAACACAGTAAAACCCTGTCTCTAAAAAAAAAGTCCTGAAATGTTAAATAATTATCATTGAATTGCAAGGGCATTTATGTGTAAGTACCTTCATTGCTGGGATATTTATGCCTGTATAATACAAGAAGAAACTTTTTTCCCCTGTAAAACTCAACTTTATTATACAGTCATGTACCAAATTATGTTTCCATGACAGACCACATAGACAGTGGTGGTCTCATAAGATACTATTTATTTTTACTGTTCCTTTTCTATGTTTAGGTATGTTTACATACACAAATATTAACTATATATAATGATTTCCTACAGTATTCAGTACTGTAACATGCTGTACAGGTTTGTAGACTAGAAACTATAGGCTACACCATGTAGCCCAGGTGTGTAGTAGGCTATACTGTCTAGGTCTGTGTATGTATGTACGTGTGCTCTATGATGTTCATACAATGATGAAATTGCCTAACAACACATTTCTCAGAATGTATTCCCATCATTAAGTGACACATGACTTTACTGATGGATTTTATTTTTCATTTTGTTTGTTAGGTTTTTTTTTTTTTTTTGAGACGGAGTTTCGCTCTTGTTATCCAGGCTGGAGTGCAATGGCGCGATCTCGGCTCACCGCAACCTCCGCCTCCTGGGCTCAGGCAATTCTCCTGTCTCGGCCTCCTGAGTAGCTGGGATTACAGGCACGCGCCACCATTCCCAGCTAATTTTTTGTATTTTTAGTAGAGACGGGGTTTCACTATGTTGACCAGGATGGTCTTGATCTCTTGACCTCGTGATCCACCCACCTCGGCCTCCCAAAGTGCTGGGATTACAGGCTTGAGCCACTGCGCCCGGCCTAGGTTTTTTGTTTTTTTAATTGTAAATTGACAGATTATAGCTGTCTATATTTATGAGGTACAAAGTGATGTTATGGTTTATGAATACAATGTAGAATAATTAAATCAAGTTGATTAATATATCTATCATCTCAAATACTTATTATTGTTGTGGTGAGAACATTTAAAATTTATGAGCAATTTTGAAATGTACAAACATTTTCGTTTATTATATTCAGCATGCTGTGCAATGTATTCCAAAGGATAAAATCTTATTCTTCTCTCTAACTAGGACTTTGTGCCCTTTGACCATCATCTCCCTATTCCTCCCATCCTCCAACCTCTGGTAACCACCATTTTTCTTTCTGCTTCTTTGAGTTTGATTTATTTTTGATTTTATATATAAGGGAGATTTGGTATTTGTCTTTCTGTGCCTGGCTTATTACATTTAGGATAATATTTTCCAGTTCCATCTATGAGGTCCCAAATAATAAGATTTCCTTCTTTTTCAAGGCTGACTAGTATTCCTTTGTGTGTATATACACACGCACGCACACACATGCACACATGTGCACACACACACACGCACACACCCCACGCCACATTTTATTCACCTATTCATCTTTGATGGACGCTTAGGTTGATTCCATTTCTTGGCTATTGTGAATAGTGAGTGCTGCAGTGAATGAGGGAATGCAGACATCTCTTTGGCATACTAATTTCAAATGTTTTGGGTAAATACCCAGAAGTGGGATTGTTGGATCTACTGATGGTTTCCTAACTACCCTTCTTCTTAACTACAGACAACCCGTTTTTTCTTATACTTAAGACGACACTTGAACAATGAGCAAGGTGGCGAGGTCATCAAGTGAGTCAGACGTGCAGCTCTGGGAAACAGAAGAGGATGACATGACAGAAGGTGATTTAGGGTATGGCCTCAGAAGGAAACCCGGTAGTATTTATGAAGTAGAAGTTTCACATAGGTCTAGAAAAAAATCAGATGGAAAGAACTTTAGCCCTCCTCCATTTCCAAGAAAGGGAGAAGAAAGAAGTGAAGCAATTTTTCAGTATTCCATGCATAAGAGCTTGCAAGATACACAACCTCAAGTGACCAGAATTTCCAATTACAGACGACAAAGTAACATTGGTAAGAATGCTGAATTTCCTCTCCTTTCTTTCTCCTGTGAATATTATCAAAGCTATAGCCCTTCCAAAACCTAAAATAAATAACCATAGTGGATTTTAGAAACTTTTTTTTTTCCTAGATGGAGTCTTGCCTTTGTTGCCCAGGCTGGAGTGCAGTGGCACAATCTCGACTCACTGCAACCTTTGCCTCCTGGGCTCAAGCAATTCTCCTGTCTCAGCCTCCAGAGTAGCTGGGATTACAGGTGTGTACCACCACACCCAGCTAATTTTTGTATTTTTAGTAGTGACAGGGCTTCACCATGTTGGCCAGAGTGGTCTCAAACTCCTGACTACAAATGATCTGCCAACCTCAGCCTCCCTAATGCTGGGATTACAGGTGTAAGCCACCACACCCGGCCTTTAGAATTTATCTTTATTCATCTCTTGGGATTGGTGGTAGTACAAAAGTAGTTGATATTTATATTTCTAAATATTGTACAAATTTGAAATACAGTAGTTATTATGCATCAATAATATGTTTGTTAATGATATCTGATTACCAACCTTGCCTTTTTTTGATGTATTTTTTTTGTAGGCAATAAATATTTATTGGGCATTATTAGGTGCCAGGCACAAGTCTAATTTCTGAGAATAATGTCAGTAAATGAAATATACAAAGGCCCTAATGCCATAGATTATACATTCCAATAGAGGAGATAGAAAATAAACCTACAGGCTGGGCACAGTGGCTCATGCCTGTAATCCCAGCACTTTGGGAGGCCCAGGCAGCTGGATCATCTGAGGTCAGGAGCTTGAGACCAGCCTGGCCAACATAGTAAAACCCCATCTCTACTAAAAATACAAAAATTAGCTGGGCGTGGTGTCACGTGCCTGTAGTCTCAGCTACTCAGGAGGCTGAGGCACAAGAATTGCTTGAACCTAGGAGGTAGAGGTTGTGGTGAGCCAAAATTGTGCCACTGCACTCCAGCTTGGGCAATAGAGCAAGACTTTTTCTCAAAAACAAAACAGCCGGGCGCGGTGGCTCAAGCCTGTAATCCCAGCATTTTGGGAGGCCGAGGCGGGTGGATCACGAGGTCAAGAGATCGAGACCATCCTGGTCAACATGGTAAAACCCAGTCTCTACTAAAAATACAAAAAAATTAGCTGGGCATGGTGGCGCGTACCTGTAATCCCAGCTACTCAGGAGGCTGAGGAAGGAGAAATGCCTGAACCCAGGAGGCGGAGGTTGCGGTGAGCCGAGATCACGCCATTGCACTCCAGCCTGGGTAACAAGAGCAAAACTCCGTCTCAAAATAAATAAATAAATAAACTTTAAAAAACAAACAAACAAACAAAAAATCCCTACAAATCAACAAATGCATAACATTGGACAGTGATAAGTGAAGGGATAGTGAGTGATTATGGGGAATGGGGTGCTACTATTTCAGGCCAGGGGTAGGAAGGCCTCACTAAAGAGGTGACTTTTTTTTTTCTTTTTTAAAGAGACAGGGTCTCACTGTCACCATGGTAGAGTGCAATAGCACGAATACAGCTCACTGCAACCTCAAACTCCTGGGCTTAAACAACCCTCTTACCTCAGCCTCCTGAGTAGCTGAAACTACAGGCACATGCCACTACACTCAGCTAATTAAAAAAAAAAAAATTCTAGAGATAAGGTCTCTCTGTGTTGCCCAGGCTGGTTTCAAACTCCTGACCTCAAGCAGTCCTCCCACCGTGGCCTGAGCACCAGGATGAAGTGGGGAGTAAGGCAGTGGCTCTTTGGGAAAGGAGTGTTCTAGGAAGAACAGAGATGCTTATTTTTTTTTTTTAATTTTTTTTTTTGAGACAGAGTTTCGCTCTTGTTACCCAGGCTGGAGTGCAATGGCGCGATCTCGACTCACCGCAACCTCCGCCTCCTGGGTTCAGGCAATTCTTCTGCCTCAGCCTCCTGAGTAGCTGGGATTACAGGCATGCGCCACCATGCCCAGCTAATTTCTTGTATTTTTAGTAGAGACGGGGTTTCACCATGTTGACCCGGATGGTCTCGATCTCTTGACCTCATGATCCACCCGCCTCGGCCTCCCAAAGTGCTGGGATTACAGGCTTGAGCCACTGCGCCCGGCCCCAGAGATGCTTATTTTAAGATGTCATGAAATTTTCAAAAATTGTCAAAACAAAATTTGTCTTAATTTATCATAACCCAAAAGAAATTATACCTTACCTTATGGAAATACTAAAATTCAGCATCATATTGTGATAGAATATTACAACTCCAAAATGATCTGGAATCTGTGGATGAGTCCATACCTGTACCATGGCACCAGCTCTGAATCTTTTGTAATCTGTGTTGTAAAACTTTCTCTTCTGAAACTTCCCCACAAAGTTGAACAAACACAAATTAGAACAACATGAGAGTGATTTAAGAAACATGGTTTCGTCCAGGTGCGGTGGCTCACGCCTATAATCCCAGCACTTTGGGAGGCTGAGGCGGGTGGATTGCGAGGTCAAGAGATTGAGACCATCCTGGTCAACATGATGAAACCCCGTCTCTACTAAAAATACAAAAATTAGCTGGGCATGGTGGTGCGTGCCTGTAATCCCAGCTACTTGGGAGACTAAGGCAGGAGAATTGCTTGAACCCAGGAGGCGGAGGTTGCGGTGAGCCGATCGCGCCATTGCACTCCAGCCTGGGTAACGAGCGAAACTCCCATCTCAAAAAAAAAGAAAAAAAAAAAAAAAAAGAAAGAAACGCGGTTTCAGATTTACAAAAAACATGGCAGCTCAGGGTTCATCCCCATCCTTCAAAATCCCTCTTGAAATTAGAATGGGATGATTTTTGTATTTTTCATCCAATTTCTTATTGTGTGTAGAGAATGGATACTGTTTGCAAGCAAAATGTTGAAAACGGAGCATCATACTAAGATGCCTTTATAAAAATATGAAGAAACACTGGCGTATAAATAAGATTGACTGCTAATAGTATGGGTTATAAACTTTTTACCAAAGTTGGCCCTATCTATGACTAATAGGTAATTTACAAAATACCACAAATTTAGTGACTTGAAACAACACAAATTTATTATTTTACAATTCTGTAGATTAGAAGTCTCAAACAGGCTGGGTGTGGTAGCCGATACCTATAATCCCAGCATTTTGGGAGGCTGAGGTGGGAAAATTGCTTGAGGCCAGGAGTTTGAGACTAGCCTGGTCAACATAGACCCTAACTCTACAAAAAAAATTTAAAAATTAGCCAGGTGTAGTGGTGTCCACCTGTAGTCCCAACTACTCAAGAAGCTGAAGCAGGAGCACTGCAGCTTGAGCAATAGAGCAAGACCCTCTCTCTGTGGAAAAAAGAGTCCCAAATAAATTTCACTGGGCTAGAGCCATGGCATTGGCAGAGTGGGTGCATTCCTTCTGGAGGTTCAGCGGGGAGACTCTCTATTCTCTTGCCTTTTCTAGCTCCAGAGGCTGCCTGCATTCCTTGGCTCGTAGCCCCCTCCCCATCTTCAAAGCCATCTTCAAAGAAGGACAATGGCTGAGTCTTTCTCATATCATATCACTCTGACATTGACCCTCTCGCCTCCCTCTTTCATTTATAAGGACTCTTAGGAGTACACTGGACTCATTTGGATAATCTGGAGTACTCTCTTGTCTCAGAATCCTTAGTCTCATTGCATCTGCAAAGTCCCTTTTTCCATGTGTTCACAGCTTCTGGAAATTGGCATGTGGACATCATATTCTGCCTACCACAAGTATTAATAGAACAGAACTTGTCACTGCCAACCCAGAGTCACTCTGTCCCTCTTGGAAGCTTGTATTATCCACCACAGTACAAACATGATTTAGGTTTAGTCTTAGATACTGTCATGTTAATGAAAGTTCAGAATAGCAAAGAAAGTTGTATTGAGAAGTATTTTTCAAAGTAAACATTCTTCTCAAAATACTCTTGCTTATAACTTACCACTTTAATTTTTTTTTTTTTTACTGCCTTTGAGAAAGAAAGGAAGATGAAGCTCTTAGAAAGCTCAATTTAACTTCTCAATTGATCATATTAAGGAGCAAATAATTGAAGTTATAGGAGACTTCAGTCATTCTTTTTGGAAAGAGATTATATTCAGGTTATTTCTTTTTTGTGTGTGAGATAGAATTTCACTCTCATTGCCCAGACTGGAGTGCAGTGGTGTGATCTTGGCTCATCACGACTTCTCACTCCCAGGTTCAAGCCATTCTCATGCCTCAGCCTCCCGAGTAGCTGGGATTACAGGCGCCCACGACCACGCCCAGCTAATTTTTATATTTGTTAGTAGAGACAGGGTTTCACCATATAGGCAAACCTGGTCTCGAACTCCTGAACTCCTGACCTCAGGTTATCCACCCTCCTCTGCCTCCCAGAGTGCTGGGATTAAGGCCTGAGCCGCTACACCCGGTCTTTTTTTTTTTTTTTTTTTTTTTTTCAGACAGTTTTGCTCTGTCACCTAAGCTGGAGTACACAGTGGTGAGATCTCAGCACACTGCAACCCCTATCTCCTGGGTTCAAGCAATTCTTCTGCTTTAGCCTTCTGAGTAGCTGGGATTACAGGAGCATGCCATCATGCTTGACTGATTTTTATATTTTTAGTAGATACAGGGTTTCATCATACAGACAGGCTGGTCTTGAACTCCTGACCTCAGGTGATCTGCCCACCTCAGCCTCCTAAAATGCTGAGATTACAGGTGTGAGCCACTGTGCCCAGACTTCAGGTTATTTAAATTATTTATTTATTTATTTAGAGACAGAATCTTACTCTGTCACCCAGGCTAGATTCCAATGGCATAATCTCGGCTCACTGCAACCTCTTCCTCCCAGGTTCAAGCAATTCTCCTGCCACAGTCTCTTGGGTAGCTGGGACTACAGGCGTGCGCCACTGTTTCTGGCTAATTTTTGTATTTTTAGTAGAGATGGGATTTCATCATGTTGGCCAGGCTGGTCTTGAACTCCTGACATCAGGTGATCTGCCCATCTTGGCCTCCCAAAGTGCTGGGATGATAGGTATGAGCCACTGTGCCTGGCCCACGTTATTTCTTATGTTTATACCACTATACAATTCAAGCTTAAGCCAAAACACCAAAATCTATTTATTTTACTCACTAACATTCATGTTTTTCTATATTCTTTTAGAGTCCTTTTTTTTTTTTTACATGGTCTTGCTCTGTTGCTCAGGCTAAAGTGGTATAGTCATAGCTCACTGCAGCCGCAAACTCCTGCACTCAAGTGATCCTCCCACCTCAGCCTCTCACGTAGCAGGGAGTACCAGCACATCACCACATCTAGCTATTTTTTTATTTTATGTTTTGTAGCGACAGAGGTCTGTGTTGCCTACGCCTGTTTCTAACTCCTGTTCTCAAGCAATCCTTAGAGTCCTTTTTGAAAAATCTTTTTATTCAAAAGTACAGTATGTGTCTTTTCATTTGTGAAATGTTTTACACGACATTTTTAACATGATTTGGTCTATTAAATTTTTTTTTTTTTTTTTTTTTTGAGACAGAGTCACTCTGTTACCCAGGCTAGAGTACAGTGGCACAATCTTCATTACCTGCAACCTCCACCTCCTGGGTTGAAGCGATTCTCCTGTCTCAGCCTCTCAAGTAGCTGGCACTACAGGCTGGAACCACCACGCTCAGCTAATTTTTGTATTTTTAGTAGAGACGGGGTGTCACCATGTTGGCCAGGTTGGCCTTGAACTCCTGACCTCAAGTGATCCACCCGTCTCGGCCTCCTAAAATGCTGGGATTACAGGCGTGAGCCACTGCACCCAGTTGTGTATTATAATTTTCCTCTCCGCAATTTAGGGGATACCTACCTATATTTGGTAATTTGTAAACAAATGTCCTATGTTTAATTAGTTAAAATATTCAAAAATTTCCCCCTAATAGATTATTTTCTTCCCCCACACCAGTAGATTCAAATGCAGAGCTGTCAAATGAAGAATTAAGGCAATGTCTTCATGAAACTTTAGAGGTAGGTGATCTGGCTAATATAAAAATTCTCGGTTCTTGGCTGAGCGCAGTGGGTCATGCCTGTAATCCCAGCACTTTGGGAGGCCGAGGTGGGTGGATCACCTGAGGTTGAAAGTTCGAGGTCAGAGCCTGACCAACATGGAGAAACCCTGTCTCTACTAAAAATACAAAATTAGCCAGGCTTGGTGGCACATGCCTGTAATTCCAGCTACTTGTGAGGCTGAGGCAGGAGAATCACTTGAACCTGAGAGGCGGAGGTTTCAGTAAGCTGAGATCGTGCCATTGCACTCCAGCCTGGGCAACAAGAGCAAAACTCTGTCTCAAAAAAAAAAAATTCTCAATTCAGTTGGATCCCTGCAGTGGCTGCAGCGCTCTTGTCTTCTGCTGCTCTCCGTGCACTCTCCTTTTCGCTTCCAGAAACATGGCCTCCAGTGTGGCTGTCTCTGAAGGTGTCATCAGGGTGTTCAATGACATGAAGTTGTATAAGTCTTCAACACCAGAGGAGGTGAAGAAGCACAAGAAGGTGTGCTCTTCTGCCTGAGTAAGGACAAGAAGAACATCTTCCTGGAAGAGGGCAAGGAGATACTGGTGGGCAATGTGGGCCAGACAGTTGATGACCTCTGTTCCACCTTTGTCAAGATGCTGCCAGATAAGGACTGCCACTATGCCCTCTATGACACAACCTATGAGACCAAGTAGAGCAAGAAGGAGCACCTGGTTGTATTCTGGGCTTCTAAGTCTGTGCCCCTTAAGAGCAAAATGATCTATGCCAGCTCCAAGGATGCCATCAAGAAGCAGCTGACAGCCGGGCGCGGTGGCTCAAGCCTGTAATCCCAGCACTTTGGGAGGCTGAGGTGGGTGGATCACGAGGTCAAGAGATCGAGACCATCCTGGTCAACATGGTGAAACCCCATTTCTACTAAAAATACAAAAATTAGCTGGGCATGGTGGCGCATGCCTGTAATCCCAGCTACTCAAGAGGTTAAGGCGGGAGAATTGCCTGAACCCAGGAGGCGGAGGTTGCGGTGAGCCGAGATCGCGCCATTGCACTCTAGCCTGGGTAACAAGAGCGAAACTCCGTCTCAAAAAAAAAAAAGCAGCAGCTGACAGAGATCAAGCATGAATAAACAAACTGCTACGAGGAGGTCAGAGGAGGTCAAGGACCGCTGCACCCTGGCAGAGAAGCTACGGGGGCAGGGCCATCATCTCCTAGGGGGCCAAGCCTTTGTGAGCCCCTTCTGGCCCCCTGCCTGGAGCATCTGGCAGCCCCACACCTGCCCTTGGGGGTTGCAGGCTGCCTCTTATCCACCAGACTGGAGGGGCTGAGGGGATCCCAGCAGGGAGAGGGCAGTCCCTTCACCCCAGTTGCCAAACAGACCCCCCACTCCCTGGATATTCTTCCCTGGATTTTCCTCCTCCCTCCATCCCTGACTGGCCTTCTTAAACTGCTTTTGATCTTCTGATTCCTCTTGGGTTGAAGCAGACCTCCCACCAGGCACCCTAGTTGTAGGGGGTCCTGTGTTTTCTTTAACAACATCCCCACTCCCCACCTGGTCCTCCCCCTTCTCATGCTGCCAACTTCCAACTGCAATGGTGACTCTGTGCTTGTCTGTTTAGTTCGGTGTATAAATGGAATGTTGTGGAGATGACACCTCCCTGTGCTGGCTGGTTCCTCTCCCTTTTCCCCTGGTCACTGCAACTCGTGGAAACAGGACCAGTAAGGGACCTTTGATTAAAAAAAAAAAAAAGACGAAAAAAAAAAAAAAAAGCTTTTCATGTGAATAAAGTCCACTGATAGCTATTTTGTTTAAATGGTACCAAATCTGTGTGGAAGGCAAATTTTGGCTTTCCAGATTTTCTTGCTGAGCCACACTTTAGAGCTCATCATTTTCAACTGGCCTCCTCTGTTTCTTTTCCACCTCATCTCTTAAAGAAGCTGCCATGTAAACATCCCACCAGTCTTCCTTTCCACACCACTTCTCTAATCTCCTCCTGGAGAAAGTAAGTTACAACTTCCTTCCATCTGCCTTCCCTGTATGTATAGCTTCTACCAATCTGACTTAATTTAACTTTGGTTAAAGTCAGAAGCCCAGTCTCAGGTGGCCTGAGGAGCCCACTGCCTTGGTGGGAAGAGCAGTTTCTGTGAGGGGTGTCTGTCCTTTGGGAACTGGGAAGCCCACTTTAGTGTGCGTTTGGGTCTCCTCCTGTGAATGCCACTGTAATTGGCTGCCAAGACAAAGTACCACAAACTGGTAGCTTAGAACAACAGAAATATATCTGCTTTCGGTTCTAGAGGCTGAAGTTTGAAACCAAAGTTTCAGCAGTGCTCCCTCTGCAGGCTTTAGAGGAGAGTCCTCTGCCTCTTTGCTTCTGATGTTTGCTGCAATCCTTGGTGTGGTCCTTGGTTAGTGACTGCATAAATCCAACTGCTCCTCTGTCACATGGCCTTCTCCCTATGAATCTGTGTCCACATTGCCTTCATTTTATAAGGACACCAGTCATTGGATTGGGGCTTGCAGCTGCCTCCTTACCTTGATTCCCTACACAAGGAACTGCAACCTCAGTAAACAATGTGAAAGCCAACTGGGACTGGGCACGGTGGCTCATGCCTGTAATCCCAACACTTTGGGAGGCAGAGGCAGGTAGATCATTTGAAGTCAGGAGTTCAAGACCAGCCTGGCCAACATGGTGAAACCCCTGTCTCTACTAAAAATACAAAAATTAACCTGGTGGTAGTGATGCACACCTGCAATCCCAGCTACTTGGGAGGCTGAGGCAGGAGAATCACTTGAGCCTAGGAGGTGGAGGTTGCAGTGAGCTGAAATCATGCCACTGCACTCCAGCCTGGGCGACAGAGTGACTCTATCTCAAAAACCTCCCTGGTTCAAGCGATTCTCATGCCTCATCCTCCCAAGTAGCTGGAATTACAGGTGTGAGCCACCATACCAAGCTTTTTTTTTTTTTTTTTTTAACTGAAACAGAGTCTTGCTCTGTTGCCCAGGCTAGAGTACAGTGGCTCAATCTCAGCTCACCACAATCTCCGCCTCCCGGGTTCAAGCGATTCTCCTGCCTCAGCCTCCGGAGTAGCTGGGATTACAGGCATGCACCACCATGCCTGGCACATTTTTTTGTATGTTTAGTAAAGACGGGGTTTCACCTTGTTGGCCAGGCTGGTCGTGAACTCCTGACCTCAGGTGATCCACCTGCCTCTGCCTTCCAAGTGCTGAGATTACTGCACCCGGCCAAGGCTCTCAATTTTAGCATGTCTGGTTCACTCACTAAGTCTAGAGGAATTTTCAGCCTCATTTGTAAGTGCTTTGAGCCAAAGGTAAATGTATACTAGCCAAACTGCTAATTTTAGGGTTGCATATCTTGTAGATAGGAAGACTAATTTTCTTTCTGTCCTCAGGAGGTAGAAATTTTAAAAACTGAACTTGAGGCATCTCAAAGGCAACTCAGAGGTAAAGAGGAAGCATTGAAAATTCTTCAAAGCATGGTAAGAAATTGTTTTTAAACTTTCATCACTTGCGTATTCCAATAATAATGTTGGTGTGATTTTAACTTTCTTCTTTCTTTTTTCTTTTTTTTTTTGAGACGGAGTCTTGCTCTTTTGCCAGGTTGGAGTGCAGTGGCATGATCTTGGTTCACTGCAACCTCCGTCTCTCAGATTCAAGCGATTCCCCTGCCTCAGCCTCCTGAGTAGCTGGGACTACAGGCGCATGCCACCATGCCCGGCTAATTTTTTGTATTTTAGTAGAGACAGGGTTTCACCATGACCAAGATGGTCTCCATCTCCTGACCTCATGATTCGCCCGCCTCAGCCTCCCAAAGTGCTGGGATTACAGGCCTCAGCCACCGAACCCAGCAGTTTTAACTTTCAAAACAAAAGCAGAAGGACTTAATACAATTGAGGGTTTTTTTAGGTGTGTATATTTTTAAGAACTTTATAATTTATATATTGTAAAGTTCACGTGTAAGTGTACAATACATTTCATTTTTATTAGATGTAAGAGTTGTACCAACATCACTATAATCTAATTTTAGAACATTTCCAACATCAAAAAAGGGACTTGGTGCCCATCAGCAGTCACTCCTCGTGTTCCTACCCCCATCCCCAGTGATCTACTTTCTGTTTCTAGATCTGCCTTTTCTGTTTCATGTAAATAGAATCATAAGATATGTGACTGGATTCTTTTGCACTAAGATTCATTTAGTTAGCGTGTTTTAGAGGTTCATACATGTTGAGGCATGTATCAGTACTGTCTTCCTTTTTATTGCCAAGTAATATTCTGTTGTCTAGATGCACCATGTTTTGTTTATGTATTCACCGGTTGATGAACATTTGGGTGGTGTGTTAGTCTGTTTTCACACTGCGGATAAAGACATACTCCAGAGTGGGGGAAAAAAGAGGTTTAACTGGACTTACGGTTACACATGGCTGGGGAGGCCTCAGAATCACGGCAAAAGGTGAAAGGCACTTCCTACATGGCAGTGGCAAGAGAAAATGAGAAAGATGCAAAAGTGGAAACCCTTGATGAAACCATCAGATCTTGTGAAACTTACTCACTACCATGAGAATAGTATGGGGGAAAGCACCCCCATGATTCAAATTATCTCCCATGGGTCCCTCCCACAACATGTGGGAATTATGGGAGTACAATTCACGGTGAGATTTGGGTGAAGACACAGAGCCAAACCATATCATTCCACCTCTGGCTCCTCCAGATCTCATGTCCTCACATTTCAAAACCAGTCATGACTTCTCAACCATCCCCCAAACTAGTAATTCATTTAAGCATTAACCCAAAAGTCCACAGTCCAAAGTCTTATCTGAGACAAGGCAAGTCCCTTCTGCCTATGAGCCAGTAAAATCAAAGCAAGCTAGTTACTTCCCAGATACAATGGGGGTATTGGTATTGGATAAATACAGCCATTCCAAGTAGGAGAAATTGGCCAAAACAATGGGGTTACAGGGCCCGTGCTAGTCCAAAATCTAGCAGGGCAGTCAAATTTTTTTTTTTTTTTTTTTTTTTTTTGAGACGGAGTTTCGCTCTTGTTACCCAGGCTGGAGTGCAATGGCACGATCTCGGCTCACTGCAACCTCCGCCTTCTGGGTTCAGGCAATTCTCCTGCCTCAGCCTCCTAAGTAGCTGGGATTACAGGCACGCGCCACCACGCCCAGCTAGTTTTTTGTATTTTTAGTAGAGATGGGGTTTTACAATGTTAACCAGGATGGTCTCGATCTCTCGACCTCGTGATCCACCCACCTCGGCCTCCCAAAGTGCTAGGATTACAGGCTTGAGCCACCGCGCCCGGCCAATGGCAGTCAAATTTTAAAGCTCCAAAATGATCTCCTTTGACTCCAGGTCTCACATCCAGGTAACACTGATGCAAGAGGTGGGTTCCCATGGCCTTGGGCAGTTCCGCCCCTGTTACTTTGTAGGGTACAGCCTCTCTCCCCGCTGCTTTCACGGGCTGGCATGGAGATTCTGCAGTTTTTCCAGGTGCACAGTGTCAGCCATGGCTGGATCTACCATTCTGCGGTCTGGAGGACGGTGGCCCTCTTCTCACAACTCCACTAGGTGGTGCTGCAGTAGGGACTCTGTGTGGGGGCTCCAACCCCACATTTCCCTTCTGAAGTGCCCTGGCAGAGATTCTCCATGATGGCCCTGGCCCTACAGGAAACTTCTGCCTGGACATTCAGGTGTTTCCATACGTCTTCTGAAATCTAGTGGAGGTTCCCAAACCCCAGTTCTTGACTTCTCAGTACCCACAGGCTCAACAACATGTGGAAGCTGCCAAGGCTTGGGACTTGCACTCTCTGTAGCCACGGCCCAAGCTGTACCTTGGCCTCTTTCAGCCACCGCTAGAGCAGCTGGGATGCAGGGCACCAAGTCCCTGTACTGCAGGTAGCATGGGGATCCTAGGCCCTGCCCACAAAACTATTTTTTCCTCCTAGACTTCTGGGGTTGGTGATGGAAGAAGTTGCTGCAAAGGTCTCTGACATGCCCTGGAGACATCTTCCCCATTGTCTTGGGGATTAATATTCAGCTTTCATTACTTATGCAAATATCTGCAGCTGGCTTAAATTTATCCTTAGAAAATGGGATTTTTTTTTCTATCGTATTGTCAGCCTGCAAATTTTCTGAACTTTTATGCTCTGCTTCCCTTTTAAAACTGAATGCCCTTTAACAGTAGCGAAGTCATGTTTTGAATGCTTTGCTGTTTAGAAATTTCTTCCACCAGATGCCCTGCATTATCTCTCTCAAGTTCAAAGTTCCCTAAATCTCTAGGGCAGGGCAAAATGCCACAAATCTCTGCTGAAACATAACAAGAGTCACCTTTGCTCCAGTTCCCAACAAATTCCTCCTCTCCATCTGAGACCACCTCAGCCTGGATTTCATTTTCTATATCATTATCAGTATTTCTATCAAGGCTACTCTCTAAGTCTCTAGAAAGTTTCAAACTTTCCCATATTTTCCTGTCTTCTTCTGAGCCCTCCAAACTGTTCCAACCTCTGCCTGTTCCCCAGTTGCAAAGTTGCTTCCATATTTTTGGGTGTCTTTTCAGCAATGCCCTACTCTACTGGTCCCAAATTACTGTATTGGTCTATTTTCACACTCCTGATAAAGACATACATTCTCAAGGCTGGTAAGAAAAAGAGGTTTAGTTGGACTTACAGTTCCACATGGCTGTGAAGGTCTCAGAATCATGGTGGGAGGCAAAAGGCACTTCTTACATGGTGGCAGCAAGAGAAAATGAGAGAGATACAAAAGCGGAAACCGTGGATAAAATCATCAGATCTCATGAGACTTATTCACTACCACGAAAACAATATGGGAGAAACTGTCCCCATGATTCAAATTATCTCCCACTAGGTTCCTCCTACAACATGTGGGAATTATGGGAGTATAAATCAGGATGAGATTTGGTTGAGGACACAGAGCGAAACCATATCGGGTGGTTTTCACCTTTTGACTGATGAATAGAAAGTACTCTGAACACTTACTTTGTGTGGAAAGTTCATTCATTCATTCCCACATTCATTGGAAAAGAACCAAACCAAGATCTCCTGACTTTTCAACTATCAGACTCTCCATAAAAGGTGGTCACTGTGAAATACTTATCAATTTATCTTAATTTTCTGTTGCCTTACAATAAAAGAGAATTTCATGACGTACATAGGAGTGATTATAAATTTAATTTATGCTGATGCTAGTTTTATTTTTCTTAGGCAATACTTGACAAAGCCACAAGTCATACACAGGCAGTGCTTCAAAAAACTGTGGAACAAAAGAGATCCTTGGAGAAGGTATTTGCTGCTTTCATCTAGACTTAATTCAGACCAGTAAGCTCTAATATAATTTCCCTAAATTCACCATACTAATGGATCTGTCATTTGTGCATACCCTATGCTAGATGTGCTTCAGTTCTCCCTTTTGGAGTTTACAGCTAAAACAGATTGTCATGTGCACAGTGAATTAAGGTTATTTTTCCCCCCATGTTAAGGTAGTGGGAGGCCTGCCAAATTGATACTTCTCATTTTTCTTCTTAAAAAAATTTTTGTTTAATCCTTATCCTTGCCTGGCAGGACATATGTCTTTCTGACCATCCCGTCTTCACTATAAAGGTAGTTAGGAATCATCCTAGATGGTCACGTCTCCTATGCCTGGTGTGTTCTCCCTTGGTGGGACCATTGAGGTAAGATTTCCAGGACTAGATTTTGCTCGAGGTCTCTACTTGCGGCAGAGGTGGGCACTGAGAAATCCAGGTGTAGCATCCAGCAAATTTTGAGGCCAAACAATTTGAGTTTTTTTCAATATTAAGTAAGTTTTGGCAGAGTTGTTTTGAGTGCTAAAGAGGCATGTTACATATGTTTACAAATGTCATAGACACTTTCTGAGCAATAGTTAATTTTTTCTCTTTAAACCATTTCTGTGGACTGATTATAAGATTTATTTCAGCTATTCACAATGTCCTGAAATGATTTATTTGTTCTAATTTGCCATGAAGATACTATTTTATTTCTGTAGGAAATAAATGCCTTGCAGTGGGAAATAGAATTTGATCATAATAGATTTAAAAATATAGAAGAATCTTGGACCCAGAAATATGACAGGTTTGTATATTGCTCTATTATTTTTCTTTGAAAATCTTTAAAATGTATGTAATTCAAAAGTAATTTATGCTTTCTTCTTTGAACTAAGTGCAAAAGATTATAAAATTTGTATTGCTTATCCACTTAATACTTGCATATTTTTCTGTTAGTGTTAATTTTCTTTTTTTTTCTTACTTTCCCCCGTCTCTTAGTGACTTTCTTTTAACAGCATACTGTTAATTTTCTTTAAAAAAAAATTGCATAGGCTGAGTGCAGTGGCTTACGCCTATAATCCCAGCACTTTGGGAAGCCAAGGCAAGAGGATCACTTGAGCCCAGGAGTTTGAGACTAGCTTGGCCAACATGATGAAACCCTGTCTGTACAAAACTACAAAAATTAGCTGGGTATGGTGGCTTGCACCTGTAGCCCCAGCTATGTGGAAAGCCGACGTGGGAGGATTACTTGAACTGGGGAGTTGGAGGCTGCAATAAGCCGTAATTGCACCACTGCACTCCAGCCTGGATGTCAGAGAGAGTCTGTGTCTCAAAAATAAAACAAAACAAACAAAAACCCAAATAGTATAAACTCTATTCTAAAATATAGTATAAAAATTATTTTAGAATTGGAACTATTTGGTTTTTTTCAAACAAAATCTTTTGAGGGACTGGTCATGATGGCTCACACCTGTAATCTCAGCACTTTGGGAGCCTGAGGTGGGAGGACTGCTTTGGTCCAGGAGTTCAAAATCAGCCTAGATGATATAGCAAGACCCTCATCTTGTTTAAAAAAAAAAAAAAAGATTAAAAATAGGATGGTTAAAATGGTAAATTTCTTTTCTTTTTCTTTTTCTTTTTCTTTTTCTTTTTTTTAAGACAGAGTCTCACTCTGTCACCAGACTGGAGTGCAGTGGCTTGATCTCAGCTCACTACAACCTCTGCCTCCCAGGTTCAAGCAATTCTCCTGCCTCAGCCTCCTGAGTAGCTGGGACTACAGGCACGTGCCACCACGCCCAGCTAATTTTTTTGTATTTTTAGTAGAGATGGGGTTTCACTGTGTTGGCCAGCATAGTCTCCATCTTTTTTTTTTTTTTTTTTTTTTTTTTTTTTGAGACGGAGCTTTGCTCTTGTTACCCAGGCTGGAGTGCAATGGCGCCATCTTGGCTCACCGCAGCCTCCGCCTCCTGGGTTCAGGCAATTCTCCTGCCTCAGCCTACTGAGTAGCTGGGATTACAGGCATGCGCCACCATGCCCAGCTAATTTTTTTGTATTTTTAGTAGAGACGGGGTTTCACCATGTTGACCAGGATGGTCTCGATCTCTTGACCTCGTGATCCACCCGCCTCGGCCTCCCAAAGTGCTGGGATTACAGGCATGAGCCACTGGACCCAGCCAATTTTTTTTTTTTTTTTTGAAACAGAGTTTCACTGTTGTTGCCCAGGCTGGAGTACAATGGCACAATCTTGGCTCACTGCAACCTCTGCCTCCTGGGTTCAAGTGATTCTCCTGCCTCAGCCTCCCAAGTATCTGGGATTACAGGCATGTATCACCACTCCTGACTAATGTATTTTTAGTGGAGATAGGGTTTCTCCATCTTGGTCATGCTAATCTCAAACTCCCAGCCTCAGGTGATCCACCTGTCTCAACCCCCTGAGTAGCTGGGATTACAGGTGTGTGTCGCCACCCCTAGCTACTTTTTTTTTTTTTTTTTTTTTTTTTTGAGATGGAGTTTTGCTCTTATTGCCCAGGCTGGAGTGCAATGGCGCCATTTCAGCTCACTGCAACTTCTGCCTCTTGAGTTTAAACAATTCTCCTGCCTCAGCCTCCTGAGTAGCTGGGATTACAGGCGCCCACCACCATGCCCAGCTGATTTTTGTATTTTTAGTAGAGACAGGGTTTTGCCGTGTTGGCCAGGCTGGTCTTGAACTCCTGAGGCCTCAGGTGATCTGCCCGCCACAGCCTTCCGAAGTGCTAGGATTACAGACGTGAACCACCGTGCCCAGCCTAATATTGTATTTTTAGTGGAGATGGGGTTTCTTCATGTTGGTCAGGCTGATCTCAAACTCCTGATCTCAGGTTATCTGCCTGCCTTGCCTCCCAAAGTGCTGGGATTACAGGTGTGAGCCACCATGCCCGGTCCAAGATGGCAAGTTTTTATGTTTTGACAATCAGCTCCAAAGAGAGAAAAAATATCTTTGGAACAACTCTTTTATTAGTGTGAGTTTATTTAATAACTTTAAATTATATACTTTATGGCCAAGTTCCTCATTTTGTTTATCCATTCATCCCTGATGGACATTTGAGTTACCTCTACTTTTGGCTATTTTGCATGATGCTGCTATGAACATGAGTGTACCCTATGTATCTTTTTCTTTTTTCCGTGAAATACTTTGTTGGTTTTCTTTTTTAGAGCACTTATAGGTTCACAGAAAAATTGAGCAGAAGGTACAGGGATTTCCCGTATGCACAGCCTCCCCCATTATCAACATCCCCTACCAGAGTGGTACATTTTTTATAACCAATGTTGATATATCATTACGACCTAAAGTCAATAGTTTACATGAGGGCCTATGTAAGTTTCTGAAGGTAACCTAAGCATATAGTTGATATTTCAAATGGTTATTAAGTAAAGAGAATGAGTATGCAGAATGTAATGCTTAGAAATATTTCTGGTTCTGATTATGTCATAACTAAGAAACGTTAAGAGTATGTTTAGGCTGGGCACAGTGGCTCACACCTGTAATCCCAGCATGTTGGGAGGCCAAGGTGGGCAGATCAGTTGAGGTTAGGAGTTTGAGAGCAGCCCAGCCAACATGGTGAAACCCTATGTCTACTAAAATACAAAAATTAGATGGGTGTGGTGGCAGCTGCCTGTAATCCTAGCTACTTGGGAAGCTGACGCAGGAGAATCACTTGAACCCGCCAGGCAGAGTTTGCAGAGTTTGAGATGAGATTGTGCCACCGCACGGCAGCCTGGGTGACAGAGTAAGACTCAGTCTCAAAAAAAAAAAAAAAAAAAAAAAAAAAAACCTGACTACATTCCTTTAAATTGTTTTTATTTTTATGATATATGTAAATTCCAGACTATTTTGAAGTAGGAAAAATTATATTTAGATTTTTGTGTTCCAATTATGGCAATAAAAATATTTTCACTCAGCAAGGAAGTATTAATGTTTCAGTTATTTTTCCCTCCAGGCTAAACTGTGAAAATGCAGTCCTCAAAGAGAATCTGAAAGTGAAAACAGAAGAAATTAAAATGCTAAAGTCTGACAATGCAGGTAATGATGATTTTTGTATTAAGAACACATGTATCAATAAACATGCTAGTATTTTGAAATAATATACCATAAGCATAATAGAGGGAAGAAATGTATCATTTAGGTTTTTAAATTTAAGAAAATTTATCAAGGTGAAATACACGTAATATAAAACTATTTAAGCCGGGCGCGGTGGCTCAAGCCTGTAATCCCAGCACTTTGGGAGGCCGAGGCGGGTGGATCACGAGGTCGAGAGATCGAGACCATCCTGGTCAACATGGTGAAACCCTGTCTCTACTAAAAATACAAAAAACTAGCTGGGCGTGGTGGCGCGTGCCTGTAATCCCAGCTACTCAGGAGGCTGAGGCAGGAGAATTGCCTGAACCCAGGAGGCGGATGTTGCGGTGAGCCGAGATCACGCCATTGCACTCCAGCCTGGGTAACAAGAGCAAAACTCCGTCTCAAAAAAAAAAAAAAAAAAAACTATTTAAAAGTGAACAATTCCTGGCTGGGCACAGTAGCTCATGCCTGTAATCCTAGTACTTTGGGAGGCCAAGGCGGGTGGATCATCTGAGGTCAGGAGTTTAAGTCCAGCCTCGCTATATAATGAAACCCCGTTTCTACTAAAAACACAAAACTTAGCCGGGCATGGGTACCTGTAGTTGTAGCTCCTCCCGAGGCTGAGGCAGACTAATTGCTTTTACTTGGGGGGCGAAATTTGCGGTGACCTGAGATAGTGACACTGCACTCCAGTCTGGGCAACAGAGTGAGACTTCGTCTTAAAAAAAAAAACAGTGAACAATTCTTGCCAGGCACAGTAGCTCATGTTTCTAATCCCAGAACTTTGGGAGACCAAGGCAGGAGGATCACTTGAGCTTAGGAGTTTGAGACCAGCCTGGGTAACATAGCAGGACCTTGTTTCTACTAGAAAACAAAAAATAACAACAGAAAAATCCAAATTAGGCAGATGTGGTGACACTGGCCTGTAGCCCTAGCTACTTGGGAGGTTGAGGTGAGAGGATCGCTGGAGCCCAGGAGGTGAGGCTGCAGTGAGCCGTGATTGTGCCACTGCACTACAGCTTGGGTGACAGAGCAAAACTGTGTCTCAAAAAAATAAATCAACAACTCAATGGCATTCACAAAGTTGCCTAATCACCACCTCTGTCTAGTTCCAAACAGTTCCGGTACTCCAAAATAAAATTTCCTACCCATTAAGTAATTTCTTCCCATTTTCTCCTTTCTATTTAGTTTTCACTTAAAGCAAAATGGTAGAGCACCAGATGTTTGAAGAACCTAAGTAGAAATGATATATATGTATATATAATTTATATTATGTATCTCTTTTATATCATTATTTATATCTCATATAATGGTCCATTTTATCTCATATAATGTCTTAATTAATATCCTTGGATCAACTTTTTTTATTTAACTTTTTTTTTTTTTTTTTTTTGAGACAGAGTTTCACTCTTCTTACCCAGGCTGGAGTGCAATGGCGTGATTTCGGCTCACCACAACCTTTGCCTCCTGGCTTCAGGCAATTCTCCTGCCTTAGCCTCCTGAGTAGCTGGGACTACAGGCACGCGCCTCCATGCCCAGCTAATTTTTTGTATTTTTTTTAGTAGAGACGGGGTTTCACCACGTTGACCAGGATGATCTCGATCTCTTGACCTTGTGATCCACCCACCTCAGCCTCCCAAAGTGCTGGGATTACAGACTTGAGCCACTGCGCCCGGCTTTTTTTTTTTTTTTTTTGAGATGGAGTCTCACTCTGTTGCCCAGGCTGGAGTAGCTAGAGTGCAGTGGTGGAATCTCAGCTCACTGCAACCTCTGCCTCCCAGGTTCATGCAATCTTCCTGCCCACCACAGGTGCCCACCACCATGCCCGGCTAATTTTTTTATTTTTTTTTTATTTTTTTTTATTTATTTTTTTTTTTTTTTGAGACAGAGTTTCACTCTCGTTACCCAGGCTGGAGTGCAATGGCGCGATCTCGGCTCACTGCAACCTCCGCCTCCTGGGTTCAGGCAATTCTCCTGCCTCAGCCTCCTGAGTAGCTGGGATTACAGGCACGTGCCACCATGCCCAGCTAATTTTTTTGTATTTTTAATAGAGATGGGGTTTCACCATGTTGACCAGGATGGTCTCGATCTCTTGACCTCGTGATCCACCCGCCTCGGCCTCCCAAAGTGCTGGGATTACAGGCTTGAGCCACCGCGCCCGGCCAATTTTTTTATTTTTAATAGAGGCAGGGTTTCACCATGTTGGCCAGGCTGGTCTCAAACTCTTGACCTCAAGTGACCCATCCACTTTGGCCTCCCAAAGTGCTGGGATTATAGGTGTGAGCTACCGTGCCCGGCATGAGCTACCGTGCCCGGCCTGATATTAACTTTTACAACTTTGTTTATTTTATTTATTTCTTATTAACTAATTTATTTATTTTCACAATGGGTCTTGTTCTGTTGCCCAGTCTGGAGGGCAGTGACACTATCTCAGTTCACTGCAACCTCCACTTTCTGGGTTTAAGAGATCCTCCCACCTCAGCCTCCCAAGTAGCTGGGACTACAGGCATGTTCCACCATGCCCAGCTAATTAAAAATGTATTATTATTATTTTATTTTTATTATTTAGATGAAATCTCGCTCTGTTGTCCAGGCTGGAGTACAGTGGTGCAGTCTCAGTTCACTATGACCTCTGCCTCCTGGGTTCAAGTGATTCTCCTGCCTCAGGCTCCTGAGTAGCTGGGATTGCAGATGCCCACCACCATGTCCAGCTAATTTTGAGGTGGAGTTTCGCTCTGTTGCCCGGGCTGGAGTGCATTGGCACCATTTCAGCTCACCACAACCTCTGCCTCCGAGGTTCAAGCTGTTCTCTTGCCTCAGCCTCCCAAGTAGCTGGGATTATAGGCACGTGCCACCGCGTCTAATTTTTGTATTTTTAGTAGAGATGGGGTTTCACCATGAGGGCCAGGCTGGTCTTGAACATCTAACCTCAGATGATTTGCCTGCCTTGGCCTGCCAAAGTGCTGGGATTACAGGTGTGAGCCACTGTGCCCAGCCTAATTTTTGGTTTTTGTTTTTTTTCTTGGAGACAGAGTCTCACTCTGTCACCTAGGCTGGAGTGCAGTGGCACAATCTTGCCTCGCTGCAACCTCTGCCTCTCGGGTTCAAGTGATTCTCCTGCCTTGGCCTCCCAAGTAGCTGGAATTACAGGCGTCTACTATGATGCCCAGCTAATTTTTTTGTATTTTTGTAGAGGCAGGGTTTCACCATGTTGGTCAGGCTGGTCTTGAACTCCTGACCTCTGGTGATCCGCCTGCCTTGGCCTCCCAAAGTGCTAACTTTTAAAAAAAATTTCATAGAGATGGTGGGGAGTCTCACTTTGTTACCCCATCTGGTCTTGAATTCCTGGCCTCAAGCAATCCTCCCACCTTAGCCTCCAAAAGTGCTGGGATTAAAGGTGTGAGCCATTGCACCTAGCCATAAAAATTTAGAGAAGAGTCTAGTTCTCGCTTCTTAGCAGAAATTAAAGAGGTGGCTTGAAGAGGACAAGATAAGCCAGGTGCTGTTGCTCATGCCTGTAATCCCAGGACTATGGGAAGCCAAGGTAAGAGTATTGCTTGAGGCTAGGAATCTGAGACCAATCCGGACAACATAGTGAGACTCTGCCTCTACAAAAAATAAACAAAAATTAGCCAGGCGTGGTAGCACACACCTGTAGTCCTGGCTACTTGGGAGGTTAAGGTGAGAGGATTCCTGGAGCCCAGGAGTTTGAAGCTGCAGTGAACTATGTTGGACCACTGCACTCTAGCCTGGGTGACAGGGCGAGACCCTGTCTCTTAAAGAAAAGAAAGGACAAAAAGAAGAAAAGGACAAAAGAAGCTCTAAATGGGGCTGAGAGCAGCACTTTATGCTGTGTGGTAACTGAGTTGTATTAACGCCTCCCCCTGAGATCTGCACATACAGCTGGTGCTTCTCAGCAACAGGGACTCGGGCTGATAAAGATGTCCCCTGTGTTAGATAAATAAGCTCAGGACAGAAGCTGCTCCCGATCGCAAGTCCTCTCCTTCCGTCGTAACACTCCACCCTGCAGTGACAGGGAAAAGATACTGTTTTCTGTTCTGCAGTAGACAGCAGGACCCCTCTTCCTCTAAATGTTTGGTTTGATATCTTCTTGTGAAAACTCGTAGCTAGTAGAAAAATCTGATCGAGCTTGCATAGCTGGTATGTTTGACATGAATACAATATTTGAGATCTCACCATCCAGTTTTCTCACTAACCATAAAATCTTGGAATAATTTGCTTTTACATGTTCCCTTTTTGAAAATCCTACAAATTTCCCAAGAGCAAACAGGGATCAGACCTCAGTTGCAAAGTTAAGATGCTTTTACATTAGAAACGACACCATCTCATCTAGTATTACATATATTTGATCTTACATGATACTCACTATTCTATCAGTTTCTCTGAATGGAGCCAGATCTTTTGGGTAGAGTATTGCTTATAAGAAATGTGTATATGGCTGGGCGCGGTGGCTTACGCCTGTAATCGCAGCACTTTGGGAGGCCAAGGCGGGTGAATCACTTGAGGTCGGGAGTTCAAGACCAGCCTGACCAACATGGAGAAACCCCATCACTACTAAAAATACAAAATTAGCCAGGCATGGTGGCACATGCCTGTAATCACAGCTACTCGGGAGGCTAAGGCAGAAGAATTACTTAAAGCCAGAAGGCAGAGGTTGCTATGAGCCGTGATCACGCTATTGCACTCCAGCCTGGGCAACAAGAACGAAACTCCATCTCAAAAAAAAAACAAACAAAAGGAGTATATGATGTTGGGGTAACTAGATTGGATGAAGCTGGGAGTTAGACTTCATAATGAATACTTTCCCATATGGCCCTTCCTAGTTTTGAATCAACGGTATTTGGAGGCCCTCGCCATGCTTGATATCAAACAGCAGAAGATGGCTCAGGAAAACATGTGCTGTGATAAAAGTGGCTTTGCAGAGGCTTCAGGTCTGGAGGTGGGTAAGAATGTAGGAAAGCTGAACAGAAAGGACGTTTTCTGCTTTCCCTTTCTTACACGTTCTAGGATAGCACATGCTTAGCAATTTGGGGATGAGAGTGAGAGAGACCCCTGGGTTTGCCCAGGTCAGTTCTTCCAGCCTTACTGGTTTCATGCCCTTCATACAGGACATTCTTGGACATGAGGGAATGTGGTGGCCACTTCTGCCCCATTTATCTCTTACCTTTACAATTCTGGCAGAAGCTGTTAGTAATGTCTCACACCTGGGTTGGGGCTTACAGTTTGAGTGCTTTCATACACATTGTTGAATCTGATCTTCATAGTAGTCTTGTAAGGGCTGCAAAGCAGGTATGATCCCCATTTTACAGAAGAGGAAACTAAGGCTCGAATAAGTTCAGTTACTTTCCTGAGGTGACAAGGTCAATCTGGTAAAGCCAGGTTCAGAACAAAAATCTGCTGATGCAATGCCAATGGCTTGCAATGTGGGATTTTGGCTAATAAGTCAGAAGGGGCCGGGGACTCATAAGAAATTAGTGGATTCTCTGCACATCTCTGTGAAAAGAAAAAAAAAAAAGAAATTAGTGGAGCAGTGGAGTGAGAGGGGGCAGCCATGCACTTATTGAGGAACTTAAGAAAAATTGGTGGCCAGGAGTGGCAGCTCATGCCTGTGATCCCAGCACTTTGGGAGGCGGGCAGATCACAAGGTCAGGAGTTCAAGACCAGCCTGGCAAACATGGTGAAACCCTGTCTCTACTAATAATATAAAAATTAGCCAGGCATGGTGGCAGGCACCTGTAGTCCCAGCTACTTGGCAGGCTGAGGCAGGAGAATTGCTTGAAACCAGGGGTGGAGGTTGCAGTAAGCCAAGATCACGCCATTGCACTCCAGCCTGGGTCACAAAGCAAAACGCTGTCTCAAAGAGAAAGAAAGACAGAGAAAGAGCGAGAGAGGGAGGGAGGAAGAGAGGAATGAAAGAAGGAAGGAAGGAAAGAAAAGATTGCTAGTAATAGCAAATATCTGCATAGTCCTTAGCAAGTTCAGATGATGTTCTGAGTGCTTTGCACACATTGATGTCTTTAGTCCTCACAACTACCCCAAGTGCATACTGTTGTAATCCCCACTTCACAAATGAGGTAACAGAGGCATTAAGGGGTTAAGTAATGTGCCTGGTATCACACAGCTAGTACGTGATAGAGCTGGGATTTGTACCCTGTAGACCGAGCTTAGAGGCAGTGTTTTTGAGCACCATGTTCTACTGCCAAGGCTGGAAAACTAGTGTAATAACAAAAAGGAGGAATACAAGAAACAGCTTAGACAAAGTTAAGGCACAGGGTGTTTTATGATAGTCTTGAGTAGGCTATGGGCCAGCCTTACCTCCAGTCAGGCAGGAACAAGGGCCTGACACAGCTGATGAGGGAGCACTGAAGTAAGAAAGTGGCACGGGGGCCAGGGGCCCTGGCTTTAACCTGTTGTGGTTTATACTGGCCCTTCCCAGGTCTTAGTTGCTTTTGGCAACTTAGGCATGGGCAATTATCAGGAGTAGGAAGATGAAAAGGGAAAAGACCTGTCTGCCACATATCCACCATTTGTACCTTCAGCTCAGCCCAAAGCTCACTTTGTGTTTCACAGTTATCTTTGATGTGAGAAAGAATGTTCCAAAATGGCCTTTACACTAAGGGATACAGTGGAATTTTCCTCTCTTAAAAGTCTCTAAAATAGGATTACATTTTATGCTGCTCATCCATGTGAAATTTGCAGCAACAGGAAGATGCTTAGATAACAATTTTTTAGTAAATTCCACATGAAACTTTTTTTTTCTTTTTTTTTTTTTTTGAGACAGGGTCTCACTCTGTAGCTCAGGCTGGAGTACAGTGGCACAATCATGGCTCACTGTAGCTTAGACTTCCTGGGTTCAAGTGATCCTCTGACCTCAGCCTCCTGAGTAGCTGGAACTATGGGTTCACACCACCATCACACCCAGCTAATTTTTAAAGTTTTTTCTAGAGATAGGGTCTTATGTGGCCCAGGCTGGTCTTGAACTCCTGGGCTCAAGCTATCTGCCTGGCTTAGCCTCCCAAAGTGCTGGGATTACAAGTGTGAGCCACCACACCCACAACCATATATTTTAAAGTTTCATATGAAACTTTCATATGAAAGCTTTTTTTTTGAGACAGAGTTTCGCTCTTGTTACCCAGGCTGGAGTGCAATGGCGTGATCTCGGCTCACCGCAACCTCCACCCCCTGGGTTCAGGCAATTCTCCTGCCTCAGCCTCCTGAGTAGCTCAGATTACAGGCATGTGCCACCATGCCCAGCTACTTTTTTTTTTGTATTTTTTTTTTTTTTTTTTTTTTGAGACGGAGTTTCGCTCTTGTTACCCAGGCTGGAGTGCAATGGCGCAATCTCGGCTCACCGCAACCTCCGTCTCCTGGGTTCAGGCAATTCTCCTGCCTCAGCCTCCTGAGTAGCTGGGATTACAGGCACGTGCCACCATGCCCAGCTAATTTTTTGTATTTTTAGTAGAGACGGGGTTTCACCATGTTGACCAGGATGGTCTCAATCTCTCGACCTCGTGATCCACCCGTCTCGGCCTCCCAAAGTGCTGGGATTACAGGCTTGAGCCACCGCTCCCGGCCTTTTTTTTTGTATTTTTAGTAGAGATGGGGTTTCACCATGTTGACCAGGATGGTCTCGATCTCTTGACCTCGTGATCCACCCGCCTCGGCCTCCCAAAGTGCTGGGATTACAGGCTTGAGCCACCGCGCCCGGCCCATATGAAAGCTTTTTAAAGTTTTTTAAAGTATTTTAAAGTTTCACATGAAACTTTAAAATATATGGTTGTGGGACTTTAAAATATATGGTCTGGGCAGAGTGGCTCACACCTATAATCCCAGCACTTTGGGAGGCCAAGTTGAGCAGATCACCTGAGGTCAGAAGTTCGAGACCAGCCTGACTAACATGGAGAAACACTGGCTCTACTAAAAATACAAAATTATCTGGGCATGGTGACGCATACCTGTAATCCCAGCTACTCAGGAGGCTGAGGCAGGAGAATCGCTTGAATCTGGGAGGCGGAGGTTGGACGAGCCAGAATTGAGCCATTGCACTCCAGCCTAGGCAACAAGAATGAAACTCTGTCTCAAAACATATATATATATATATATATATATATATATATATATATATATATATATATGGCACAGGCCAGGAACGGTGGCTCACACCTATAATCCCAGCACTGTGGGAGGCCAAGGCGGATGGATCATTTGAGGTCAGGAGTTCCATACCAGCCTGACCACCATGGTGAAACCGCATCACTACTAAAAAATTAGCTGGGTGTGGTGGCACATGCCTGTAATCTCAACTACTTGGGAGGCTGAGGCAGGAGAATCATTTGAACCCAAGAAGCAGAGGTGCAGTGAGCCGAGATCTTGCCACTGCTTTCCAGCCTGGCTACAGAGCAAGACTTTGTCTCAAAAAATACAAAATAGGGGCTGGGCGCGGTGGCTGAAGCCTGTAATCCCAGCACTTTGGGAGGCTGAGGCGGGTGGATCACGAGGTCAAGAGATCGAGACCATCCTGGTCAACATGGTGAAACCCCGTCTCTACTAAAAAATACAAAAAATTAGCTGGGCATGGTGGCGCGTGCCTGTAATCCCAGCTACTCAGGAGGTTGAGGCAGGAGAATTGCCTGAACCCGGGAGGCGGAGGTTGTGGTGAGCTGAGATCGCACCATTACACTCCAGCCTGGGTAACAAGAGCGAAACTCCGTCTCAAAAAATAAATAAATAAATAAATAAATAAATAAAATATATGGCACATCATGTTGTATAGATTGCTCCTGTGAAATTGGTACATACTGGAATATGTTTGAAAAGTAACTTGTGGTTACCTTTCTTTTTTTTTTTTTTTTTTTTTTTTTGAGACAGAGTTGCTCTGTTGCCTAGGCTGGAGTACAATAGCGTGATCTCAACTCACTGCAACCTCTGCCTCCTGAGTTCAAGCAATTTTCCTGTCTCAGCCTCCCAAGTAGCTGGGATTACAGGCGCATACCACCATGTCCAGCGAATTTTTATATTTTTAGTAGAGGTGGTTTCACTATGTTGGTCAGGCTGGTCTTGAACTCCTGACCTCAGGTGATCTGCCCACCTTGGTCTCCCAAAATTTTGGGATTATAGGTGTGAGCCACCACACCTGGCCTACTTGTGGTTAGCTTTTCAAGTGGATTTTTAAGAAGTAAAATTATTATATTACTTTTCTTCCAATTGCAATGGTCAACCAAGTGTCAAAATAAAGGGATCAGAATCTAGTTTATTATTTATTTATTTATTTTTGAGACAGAGTTTCGCTCTTGTTACCCAGGCTGGAGCGCAATGGTATAATTTTGGCTCATTGCAGACGTCTGCCTCCCCAGTTCAAGTGATTCTCCTGCCTTAGCCTCCAGAGTAGATGGGATTATAGGCATGAGCCATCACACCCAGCTAATTTTTGTATTTTCAGTAGAGACAGGGTTTCACCAAGTTGATCGGGCTGGTCTTGATCTGCCAAAGTGCTAGGATTACAGGCATGAGCCACCATGCCTAGCCAGAATCTAGTTTAAAGAGTTTATTCAAGCATAACAGTTGAGGAAAGATTACCCAGGAAGCACAGATTCCAAAGAAGTCAATGTTCTAAAATGTAGAAGTTTGGGCTGGCATATATGGACAATGTTTAGGGAAGTTTAACAGAATCAGCATCTTTTTATGGCATGGTTTAGTGCTTAGATCTTATTAGTTGAGATGATTGTTTTCCTTTGGGGAAGGTGTATTTTACATTCCACACTGAAGATGATTCTTTTGGGGAAGGTATATTTTACATTCCACACTAACAAGCCATGGAGTTCATTGGAAGTCATATAGCCTGAGTTAGGTATAGGAAAATAAGACAGTTAATCTATAACAGAGGTCAGTGATGGAAGCAGGCAGGTCTGATCTCTGGTCTCTCCTCCTCATTTACAGCACAAGAGCAGTGAGGAAGAGGGTTACTCTCTAATCTAGAAGCAGAATTGCAAACATACTACCTGACTGGGTCTCCAGGGCTTAACTTCACTCTTGGCATAAGTTCGGATAGTGCTAAGGTTTTATTCTTTTACACAGGACCCAATCGTATTTCTTTATATTTTTAGGAGTGGAGGGATGACTCTTTTTCCCACTGATATATTAAAATTCCCTCGTCATTTCTGAGCAGATGACTCTCCTTTGGAGGAAACTGGCAGTAGTGAATGCCAGGCATCAGGGCCAAACTGTGACAGGAAAGATGTGCTGTGGATGTTAGTGTGAACCATATTGTTGGGCTAAACTCCTGCCAAGGACTCAGACCTATAGGAGAATGATGCCAGGATTAAAGGTTTTAAGAATGAGATGAAGGAAAGCAAAATTCCCTTTTGTTTGTGTTCTAAGTCATGACATTCTTTTCCTCGTTGGTAGTTAATTTCCACTTGTATTCTAAGATCCTAGTCTCAGCTTTCTTCCATATATATATTTTTTTGAGATGGAGTCTCCCTCTGTCGCCAGGCTGGTGTGCAGTGGCACGATCCCGGCTCACTGCAACTTCTGTTTTCTGGTTTCAAGCAATTCTCCCGCCTCAGCCTCCTGAGTAGCTGGGACTATAGGCACACACCACCACGCCTGGCTAATTTTTTTTGTAGTTTTAAAGATGGGGTTTCACCATGTTGGCCAGGATGGTCTCGATTTCTTGACCTCGTGATCTGCCTGCCTCAGCCTCCCAAAGTGCTGGGATTACTGACATGAGCCATCATGCCTAGCCTATTTTTTTTTCCTTTCTAGTGTTTTTGGATCAGATGCCTGAGTAGTAGTGTGCATGAGTGTGTGTGAATGCCCCTGTGTTTGTGTGCAGCCCAAACAGTGGGACACTTAGTAACGGGAGTGATGCTTTTCAATTTAAAGCTTGCAGTCCTCGGAGCCTGCCTTTGTCATGGGCCTGGAGGGAGCCCCTGTTCTTGTGCCAGAATGGCAGCGTCTACTCGGAAACTGCTTCTTCAGCTCAAACAAGAGGTATTGCATTATCGTAACAACGAAAGCTTTAGTTTTGTTTCTCTACTAATAGTGGAATTAAATGGACATATCTGCAATAATTAACTTCATTTTACTGGTTATTGACTATGGAACTTACATTTAGTTTTTACGTGATAGTATTAATTTATAAACTAGATTTTGTTTACCTGGTTCAAAAATGCAAATATTAATAGTACTTGGGGCAGGGTGCAATGGCTCACGCCTGTAATTCCAGCACTTTGGGAGGCTAAGGCGGGTGGATCACCTGAGGTCAGGAATTTGAGACCAGCCTGGCCAACGTGGTGAAACCATGTCTCTAATAAAAATACAAAAAATTATCTGGGCATGGTGGCAGATGCCTGTAATCCCAGCTACTTGGGAGGCCGAGGCAGGAGAATCACTTGAACCTGGGAGGCCGAGGCAGGAGAATCACTTGAACCTGGGAGGCAGAGGTTGCTGTGAGCTGAGATTGTGCCACTGCACTACAGCCTGGGCAACAAGAGCAAAACTCCATCTCCAAATAGTATTTGGCTTGATATTTGAAGCCAGCTAAATTCATTTGCCTAAGTTTATAATTAATATTCCTAAAATTTACATTGTTCTCATCTATACATGGCCCTAAAATTACTGCATAATAGAAGGAAAAGGTACATTTATGCTTAAAATCACTAGGATTAGCAACACTCATTAATGGAGAGATAAGCATGGAATGTATTTGAACAGCAGCAAGGTACAGTGAAAGGAACCTTTGTACCAGCCAGACCTAGGTTTGCGTCTTTGCTCTACCATTTACTAGCTGTGTGGCTTTGGACAGGATACTCTCAGGTTTCCTACTATGTTAAGTGGAGGGTAATAACTACTTTGGATCATTGTTATGAGAATAGAGGAAATAGACATACAATGTTTAGCATAGTGCCATGAACATGCCAGACATTTAATTAAACAATAGCTGCCATTATATTTGGTCTTTACTTACACGTATAGTAATACATGGACCATAATTCTAAAATGTTTTACCTTTATTGAAGGTATGGAATTTAAAGTCCTTAGGTGTGATAAACCACTGTGACACATGTTTACCTAGGTAACAAACCTGCATCCTGCACATGTATCCTAGAACTTGAAATAGAACAAAATAGAACAAAATTAAATTTTAAAAAATAGTCTTTACAGTATATAGGAAAGCCAACAGTTGGACAGTAGCCATTCATTAAGAAAAGCATGAGGGGTAATGGTTACACCTGTAATCCCAGCACTTTGGGAGGTTGAGGTGGGAGAATCACTTGAGCCTAAGATGACACAACTACAGCGAGCCATGTTCACACCACTGCACTCTAGCCTGGGCAACAGAGTGAGAGACCCTGTCTCCAAAACAAACAAACAAACAAACAAAAACGGGTAGGTGTGGTGGCTCACACCTGTAATTCTAGCACTTTGGGAGGCCGAGGCAGGTAGATTGCCAGAGTATGTGACCAGCCTGGGCAACATGGTAAAACCCTGTCTCTACTAAAATATAAAAAATTAGCCAGATGTGGCAGTGTGCGCCTATAGTCCCAGCTTCTTAGGAGGCTGAGGCAGGAGAATTGCTTGAAACTGGGAGGTGGAGGTTGCAGTGAGCCGAGATCATACCACTGCACTCCAGCCTGGATGAGAGAGTGACTCTGTCTTAAAAAAGAAAAAAGAAAAAGAAAGAAGAGATCGGGTGCAGTGGCTCACGCCTGTAAGCCTAGCACTTTGGGAGGCAGAGGTGGGTGGAGATCGGGAGTTCAAGACCAGCCTGACCAAAATGGAGAAACCCCCTCTCTACTAAAAATACAAAAATTAGCCTGGCATGGTGGCACATGCCTGTAATTGCAGCTCCTCAGGAGGCTGAGGCAGGAGAATTGCTTGAATCTGGGAGGTGGAGGTTGTGGTGAGCTGAGATCGCACCATTGCACTCTAGGCTGGGCAACAAGAGTGAAACTCCGTCTCAAAAAAAAAAAAAAGAAGGAAAAGAGAAACATGAGATTACATTGATCACAGTCAAGGTCAGCTATGAGAAGTATTTGAAAGGTGGTATTTATCATTATTTTCAGTGGTGTTGTCTGGAATGGCCCAAAGCTGAATTGGAATGCAGCCTTTGGCATCCCCATACCTTTCATGCTGGGCCCTTTATCCCAGGACTTGAACAGGACACACACACAGGGCCTGCATGTGGTAGGGAGGTCCAGGGGTTAGATTAGCAGGCAGTTAACAGGCACCACAAGGGAGACTGCTCAAAATCTGGATCAGAGTAGGTTGCTATTGCAGAAGTAGAAAGTATTAATTAGCATAAGCAGATAAACTAGATCAAACACAGGCAATAGACTTGTGTTAAGTAGGGTGATTGGTGCTAGGCAGGGAGATTGCATATGTTAATTTGATTCAACATTCAACAAGAATTGTTCTGGCTTTGCCTCTGACGCCTCTCAAACTTTCTTTCAAAACCAGTTGGAACTTTTGCAGAAGAGTAAAGAAGAAGCTTATGTAATGGCAGATGCTTTCAGAATTGCATTTGAGCAACAATTAATGAGAAAAAATGACCAGGCACTAAGATGGACACAAATGGATAAAATGTGTAAAAAAGCAACAAAATGGATAAACTGGAAGCACCTTAAAGAGGATGGTAACTATGAATTATAATGGCAATAAGTAGGTGAAATTTTGGTTGTTTTGCTTATAATCCAAGTTGATGAAGCACACTTAATCCAATGTGGGCAAATATAATTGAAACTTCACATACGGTCGTGGTTTACTTAAAAATTTTGCAACTATGGAAAAAAGTCATTGGATATTACATGTGCAGATGAACTACTGGAATCAACAAAACATAATATAACAGGAATATCTCTTTTCTAGTACTCTTTGGTTTAATTTAAACAAGACCACGTTTAGTGGAAAAACTTTGTAATAAATGTGCTAGGTGATTAAAGGGAAACTGCCATGAAAGCAGTAATGTTGCTGGGCGTGGTGGCTCACACCTGTAATCCTAGCACTTTGGGAGGCCAAGGTGGGTGGATCACCTGAGGTCAGGAGTTCAAGACCAGCCTGGGCATCATGGTGAAGCCCCATCTTAAAAAAAGAAAAAGAATTAAAAAAAAAAAAAAGTAATGTTAAAAATGTCATTTAAACAAGACATTAAATGTATCTATCTAATTAAACTTTATTGAAATGTATGCTTCTGAAAAGGAAATTGAGGAATACAAGAAAAACCTTAAGTTGGACAAATTAATAAAATATTAGAAAAAATGAAGCAGAAGTTTAGGTTTAGGTTTTGTGTCTTGAGCCCATTAAAAGTTTATGGCCAGGCTGGGTACAGTGGCTCACGCCTATAATCCCAGCACTTCGGGAGGGCGAGGCAGGTGGATCACCTGAGGTCAGGAGTTTGAGACCAGCCTGGCCAACATGGCGAAACCCTGTCTCTACTAAAAATAAAAAATTAGCCAAGCATGATGGCACACACCTGTAATCCCAGCTGCTCAGGAGGCTGAGGCAGGAGAATCACTTAAACCTGGGAGGCAGAGAGAGGTTGCAAGGAGCCAGGTTTGCACCACTGCACCCTAGCCTGGGCAACAAAGTGAGACTGTCTCAAAAAAACAAAAATAAATAAATAAATAAATAAATAATAAAATGAGCCGGGCATGGTGGCTCACGCCTGTAATCCCAGCACTTTGGGAGGCCGAGGCGGGTGGATCACAAGGTCAAGAGATCGAGACCATCCTGGTTAACATGGTGAAACCCCGTCTCTACTAAAAAAAATACAAAAAATTAGCTGGGCATGGTGGTGTGTGCCTGTAATCCCAGCTACTCAGGAGGCTGAGGCAGGAGAATTGCCTGAACTCGGGAGGTGGAGGTTGCGGTGAGCCGAGATCGCGCCATTGCACTCCAGCCTGGGTAACGAGCGAAACTCCGTCTCAAAAAAAAAAAAAAAAATAATAATAATAAAATGAAACCTTTATAGTAGGTAGTCATTTTGTTTGAAATATTTCTTTTCAAACAGTATATATTATTAATAGTATAGGAGTCAGCTGTTGTGAATTTTAGTTTGTTAACTAAGCTTTCCTCCTTTTCTTTGCTGAAAAGGGTAAGAAGTGATGCAGAGGAATGATAGAAATAGAAGCACTCAATCAGAACTCCTGAGTAGGTAAAAGAAGATCACAGAAGCTACATATTTAGAGTGTTCATTAGATGGAAGCCAGGGCAAAAATGGGAAAATATTATGTTTTATAACTCTCATTCTGAAAAAGTCATTCATATCGTTCTGAAATTAATTTCTAAAAATGTTTTCTGACACAAAACTTTTGAGAAAATGTAGCTGAGTGTGATGGCTCATGCCTGTAATCCCAGCACTTTGGGAGGCTGAGGCAGGTGGATCACAAGGTCAGGAGTTTGAGACCAGCCTGGCCAAGATGGTGAAACCCCGTCTCTACTTAAAATACAAAAGTAGCTGGGCACGGTGGTGGACGCCTGTAATCCCAGCTACTCAGGAGGCCGAAGCAGGAGAATTACTTGAATCCGGGAGGCAGAGGTTGCAGTGAGCCCAGATCATGCCATTGCAATCTAGCCTGGGTGACAGAGCAAGATCTCCATCTCAACAAAAAACAAAAAAGAGAGAAAATATAATGGCTAAATTCTCAACAGTGTCTTAGCTCTTTTAAAAAAATTTTTTTTGAGACAGGATCTCACCCTGTTGCCCAGGCTGGAGTACGGTGGTGTGATCATGACTCACTGCAGCCTCTGCCTCATGGGCTCAAGTGATCCTCCCACCTCAGCCTCCCTAGGAGGTGGGACTACAGACATGTGCCACCATGCCAAGTTAAATTTTGTATTTGTTTGTAGAGATGAGGTCTCACTGTGTTATCCAGGCTGGTCCCAAATTCCTTGGCTCAAGCGATCCTCCCTCCTCGGCCAACCTAAATGCTGGGATTGCAGATGTGATCCATTACACCTGACCAACAATGTCATAATAAACACAAAATAGTGTATTTAGAAAGTATGGTCATTTTCTATAATAATCTCTTGATAAAAGCTGAAGGTACAACTTTAATGTTTAACTCAGGGTAGTGATACTGTCAGGGAAAAAGCTAACATGGTCCATGTATTTAGCCTTTTAGGAACCAGTGGGAAACACTAAGAATATCTGGTTCTACCATGAACCACAGCTATGTGTAGATAATCAGACAGCTCCTCTCTTAGCTAAGCCCTTGATAGCAGCTGGGTTGCAAAATCCTCTTTGAGGACAGTCTTGTGGTGTTTTGTGCTAATTGACGGTGGATCTTCTTAGAAAGTCAGATTGTAAATACTTGTTTCTTTGATAGAGGTGGAAAGAAAAGTGATGGGAGAAAGGAAAAGAAGGGGAAAGTCAGGGTGAAGTAATCCTCATCTCATGAAAGCCTGTCAGATCCTGTCGCCTGCATGCAAAACCCACAACCCTAAATGGAACTTGGCCACTGGGATAGTGCTGTGTAGACAAAGCAGCATTTTTCTCGAGAGCTGGATCCATACTCATTTCAGCACTTGAGAATATGATCATTTGTTTCATAATTCCTACCTTCCTCATTGTAAGAGGTAGGAAAAACCAAAGTGTTCTCCTATTCACACACCACTCACCACTCAGCACAGCGCTTCTGACACCAGATGTTGGGGGTGGGGGATTCCCCACACGCCAGCTGGGTAACCTGTCATTTCCCTCAATTTTCGCACTGTCTACCTGGAGTTAGAGTCAGATCCCATAGGGCTCAGTCCTGCAAGATGGCCTGCACTTCAAATGCCAGACAGAAGCACAGGGTTGTCTTTGCTGCTTCTGACTGACTGGCTCTATGAACACTGGGACTCCCATGACTCCTCAGGTTCCATTAATTTGCTAGGACGGCTCACAGAACTCCAGGAAACACTTAATGTTTACCAGTTTATTTATGAAGGATCTTGCAAAGGATGCAGATGAACAGCCAGATGAAGAGATGGACAGGGCAAGGAACATGGGAAGGGATGCTCTCTTCGGCGCCCCACCCCTCAGGAGTCTCCACATGCTTAGCTTTCTGGAAGCTCCCCAGACCCTTTTGGGTTTTATGGAGGCTTCATTACATGGACATGGCTGATTACATCATTGGCCGTTGGTGATCAGCTCAAGCTTCAGTCCCTGTCTCTTCCCTGGAGTTTGGGGGTGGGGCTGAAAGTTCTAGTTTTCTAATCAAGATTGGTTCCCCTGGCACCCAGCCCCCATCCTGAGGCTATCCAGAAGCCCAGTAAGAGCCTCATTAGAACAAAAGATGCTCCTGTTATCCAGGAAATTCCAAGGGATTTAGGGGCTCTGTGTCAGATGCTCCTAGCACTCAGAAAATTACAACATCTTAGGAATTATATGTTAGGAACTGGGGTCAGAGACCAACTATGAGAACAAAAGGTTTGCCTAACACCCCTATTTACTAGGATTTTAGGGGCTCTATGTCAGGAACCAAGGGCAGAGACCAAATGTATATTTCTTTCTTTCTTTCTTTCTTTTTTTTTTGAGACGGAGTTTCACTCTTGTTACCCAGGCTGGAGTGCAATGGCACGATCTCGGCTCACCGCAACCTCCGCCTCCTGGGTTCAGGCAGTTCTCCTGCCTCAGCCTCCTGAGTAGCTGGGATTCAAGTCCAAGTCTTTTTGGTTCTGAAGCAGAGTTTGCATGGTTCAGAGGGCTCCTGTGGCCTGCAGACATGTTTTGTTAGGTCCGCATAGTGGATTCAAAAATCAGACTCGTGGCTGACATTTAGATTCGGAAGATGTCATGACAGATCTGTCTGCGTTTCTGGCTGCTCTTGAAGACTGCGATGATCCTGTGACATGGACTGTATTCCTGTGTGGCCTCTGCATCAGCTAGCATGGAGGGGCGGCTGTGCCACACAGCAGGGTGGCACTCTTGCTGTCTCTCATCTGCGCTGCTCCTGGCTCTGTAGGCCATGCTCTGCCCACTGCAGTCCACTGTGCTGCCGGACTCACTTGTCCTAGAGGTCTACTGAAGAGGACAACCTCCAGGCTGACTTAGGAATTAATAAGCCTTAATTTGTAGTTACCTCTTTTGCTGGGACTATATCAGTGAAGGTATTTTAATGTCTCAGCTGGATTTTCATGTTCAATTTTAGGATTTCTGTCACCAAAGAGTAAGAAGACCTTTGGGCAGAGACTCTTGGGTATGCTGCCTTCAGAAAACAGTTCTAAGAGGATGGAAGATGAGGACAGTCCTCAGGAGGTCCTTAAGATGCTCATGGATTTGGTTAGTATCTTTCCTTTCTTTTTTTTGCAGGTTGTGGTTAAGCCAAGCTTGTCCAACGCACCGTCTGCAGGCTGCATGCAGCCCAGGACAGCTGTGAATGCAGCCCAACACAAATTCATAAACTTTCTTAAAACATTATGAGATTTTTGAGATTGTTTGTTTGAGACAGTCTCACTTTGTCGCCCAGGCTGGAGTGCAGTGGCGTGATCTCTGTTTACTGCAGCCTCCACCTCCTGGGTTCAAGCAGTTCTCCTGCCTCAGCCTCCCAAGTAGGGTGAGGACTGCGGGCACCCACCACCATGCTTGGCTAATTTTGTGTGTGTGTGTTTTTAGTAGAGACAGAGTTACACCCTGTTGGCCAGGCTGGTCTCGAACTCCTGACCTCAAGTGATCTGCCCACCTCAGCTTCCCAAAGTGCTGGGATTTATAGGTGTGACCCACTGTGCCCAGCCAGTGTTAATGTATTTTATGTGTGACACAAGACAATTCTTCTTCCAGTGTGGCCCAGGGAAGCCAAAAGATTGAACACCCCTGGGTTAAGCTAATCTACTATTTGCTTCCTGTTCATTCAGCTCTTTATCTCTCTAGACTTGCACTTGCCTTCTAAAGTGCTCAAGGCATTTCCTCACACATTATATCCTTTAATTATCATCACAACCCTGAAATCAGTCCTGCCACCCACATTCCACAGATGACTCAGTTAAGACACTGAGACTCGGGTTATATGAAGGTACTTATCTTTTGAGTGTTATTTATTTGCATACAAATATATGAAAGCAATTTTACATATAAATAACTTCGGCATTCTTTTAGAAATATGCACATGTTGATATGTTTTTTATATGTTACATATCTATATAAATAGACACACTTCATATAGATCTACATTTTCCATTCATTTTCAGATGACTTGCAAAATTTTCAACACTGTCTTCTGTTCTTTTTTTTTTTTTTTTTTTTTTTTGAGACAGAGTTTCCCTCTCGTTACCCAGGCTGGAGTGCAATGGCGCGATCTCGGCTCACCGCAACCTCCGCCTCCTGGGTTCAGGCAATTCTCCTGCCTCAGCCTCCTGAGTGGGTGGGATTACAGGCACGCGCCACCATGCCCAGCTAATTTTTTTTTTAGTATTTTTAGTAGAGACGGGGTTTCACTATGTTGACCAGGACGGTCTCGATCTCTCGACCTCGTGATCCACCCGCCTCGGCCTCCCAAAGTGCTGGGATTACAGGCTTGAGCCACCGCGCCCGGCCTGTTCTTTTAAAAAAGAACCAGACAGGTGGGTGGCTCACTCCTGTAATTCCACCATTTTGGGAGGCCGAGGCAGGTGGATCACGAGGTTGGGAGATCGAGACCATCCTGGCCAACATGGTGAAACCCCATCTCTACTAAAAATATAAAAAAATCAGTCAGGCGTGGTGGTGTGGAACCTGCTGAGGCAGGAGAATTGCTTGAGCCTGGGAGGTGGAGGTTGCAGTGAGCCAAGACTGCGCCACTGCACTCCAGCCTGAGTGACAGAGTGAGACTCTGTCTCAAAAAAAAAGATTGTCAGCCTGGCATGGTGGCACACACCTGTAATCCCAGCACTTTGGGAGACTGAGTCGGGTGGATCACCTGAGGCCAGGAGTTTGAGACCAGCCTGACCAACATGGTAAAACCCATCTCTACTAAAAATACAAAAATTAGCCAGGTGTTGTGGTGTATGCCTATAGTCCCTGCTGCTCTACTTGGGAGGCCAAGGCAGGAGAATCGCTTGTGCCTGGGAGGCGGAGGCTGCAGTGAGCCAAGATGGCACCACTGCATTCCAACCTGGGTGACAGAGCCAGATCCTGTCTTAAAAAAAAAAACAGGCCAGGCGCGGTGGCTCAAGCCTGTAATCCCAGCACTTTGGGAGGCCGAGGTGGGTGGATCACGAGGTCAAGAGATCGAGACCATCCTGGTCAACACGGTGAAACCCCATCTCTACTAAAAATACAAAAAATTAGCTGGACATGGTGGCGCGTGCCTGTAATCCCAGCTACTCGGGAGGCTGAGGCAGGAGAATTGCCTGAACCCAGGAGGCGGAGGTTGCAGTGAGCCGAGATCACGCCATTGCACTCCAGCCTGGGTAACAAGAGCGAAACTCCGTCTCAAAAAACAAACAAACAAACAAAAAACAAACAAACAAACAAACAAAAAAACAAAGAATTGTCAGTAACATGTAGTATAATGCTTGGGGATCAGGTGATACCTAATTTATTCATATTGATGGACAGATCAATATAAATATTAGGGTTGAACATTTTGATAAAATAGTACAATCTGAATATATTCTGTGAATACTAACTTGTACATATTTAATTTCTGTGCATGTAGCTGAATGATAAAGAAGAAGCTTTGGCTCATCAAAGAAAAGTTAGTTACATGCTTGCTCGGGCATTAGAAGACAAAGACACTGCCTCAAAAGAGAATAAAGAAAAAAATCCTGCGAAAGAGAATTTCCCTTTCAACAACCCTTGGCATAAGACTTCAGAATTGTCTGTTTTAGGTGATCCTGTACATTCAAGTATTCATATTTTAAATTCTATGGGCTGCATGTGTTCAATCCAGCACTCTCAAATAGATCCAAACTACAGAACTCTTAAAAGATCCCATTCTTTGCCATCAAGTATCATATTTTAAAGACAAGCCAGTTGAAATGACAACTGAGTTATTGATATCAAGAGACTTTGAAAAAGGAGTGTGTAAATGATGCTGCATCTTGAGAAGTTGTGTGTTTCCTAGGTATTTCTAAATTTTAGGAGATAGTTTAAATATTTCCTACATTTTTTCTTTTTTTTGAAATGGAGTCTCACTCTGTCGCCCAGGCTGGAGTGCAGTGGCGTGCTCTCGGTTCACTGCAACTTCTGCCTCCTGGTTCAAGCTATTCTGCTTCAGCCTCCTGAGTAGCTGGGATTACAGCCGCATGCCGCGGTACCTGGCTAATTTTTGTATTTTTAGTAGAGATGGGGTTTTACCATGTTGGCCAGGCTGGTCTCAAATGCCTGACCTTAAGTGATCCGCCCACCTTGGCCTCCCAAAGTGTTGAAATTACAGGTATGAGCCACCACACCCAACCTATTTTCTACATTTTCTATAAGCAATTTATTAATATTGACATTTTATTTATAAATTACATTACAGGCCAGGTGCGGTAGCTCACGCCTGTAATCTTAGCACTTTGGGAGGCCGAGGCTGATGGATCACCTGAGGTTGGGAGTTCAAGACCAGCCTGATTAACATGGAGAAACCCAGTCTCTACTAAAAAAAAAATTAGCCAGGCATGATGGCAGGTGCCTGTAATCTCAGCCACTCCAGAGGCTGAGGTAGAATAGTTTGAACCTGGGAGGCGGAGGTTGCAGTGAGCCAAGATCATGCCATTGCACCCCAGCCTGGGCCCCAAGAGCAGAACTCCATCTCAAAAAAGAAAAAAATGACATTACAATATTAATGTCATTTGTAAATATTATAAAACAAAAAATTGTTTACTTTGATTGATTATTGGGATCTTAGATTGGCTAAATCAACAATATAGCAAAGTATCTTAATGCTCTAAAAGAACAGTACCTAAGAGTGACTGAATGTTAATTTTTGGAATACATTTATCTTGTTTTATTTGCCTTGTTCAGTATTTATTTACCATATAAAGTTTAGAACGCTCAGGAGGCTGAGGCAGGAGGATCGCTTGAACCTGTGAGGCGGAGGTTGCCATGACCCAAGATCTTGCCATTGCACTCCAGCCTGGGCAAGTAGAACAAAACTCTGTCTCAAAAAAAAAAAAAAGGAAATAATTTCCTTAACTTCAAGAAGACAGTTATGATGGTGGGACCTCGGCAGAAGTAAATTGTCATTGCTGGCTAACTTCATGGCTTCTTTTCTTGTCAGGGTAGTAACATTTTGTAGCCAAATTTGCACAGATTTGTAGCCAAGTCTACAAAGTGCTAAACAGCTCTTCTCAATGCATCCTGTGAGATGGTTGTGATGATCCAGGAAATGGGGTCTCAGGAATCCCAAGAAGCCACCTGAGCCAAGGTGATTTCTGGTTTGTTTGTGGTATTGAGTTGGGGTGTCTGTGTGTGTGTGTGTGTGTGTGTGTGTGTGTGTGTGTGTGTGTAGATGGGGTCTCACTGTGTTGCTCAGGCCAAACTCCTGGCCTCAAGGGATCCTCCTGCCTCAGCCTCCCAAAGTGCTGGGATTACAGGTGTGAACCACCACACCTTTGATATTGTACAATAAAAATGTTTTTAAAAATTTACAAAGCTCTTATTTGATCCACTATGAGCTTTTTGATTTTATCCTGTACCTTGGTATGAATTTCTTGTAGGCTTGTGCACAGATACCTTAAATGGCTACTAATTGTTGCTCTGCTTATAAAAACAAATGGCTATCAAGGCTGGGTGCAGTGGCTCATGGATCTGGTCTGGATCTCGAGTCCAGCCAGTGCAGAGTTTAAGATCAACCTAAGCAACATGGTGAAACCCCATCTATACAAAAAATCAGCAAGGCATGGTGGCATGCACCTGTTGTCTCAGCTACTCAGGGGTCTGAGGAGGAGGATGGTGTGAGCCCAGGAGCTTGAGGCTGCAGTGAGCTGTGATCATGCCACCGCACTCCAGCCTGGGTGACAGAGACCCCTGTCTCAAAAGTAAAAAGGCCATCAATACAAAATGTTTATCTAAATTATTGTACAGTCATACAATGGAATACTCTACAAAATGGAGAGATCCATCCAAGAGATAGCAAATGAATAAAGCAAAATGCATGTGTTGACAGCTGCTGATACCTGAGGTTCTTGTCTTCTTGGTTTAAAGGTATTTAAACAAGACACAACCAAGGAGATATAGCATAAGTTACTGCAAAATAAAAGGATTATTTTGAAAGGTAGGTGTAGAATAGACAGTAAACCCTGAGAGAGAATTCAGGGCTGGCTCCTCATAAGGGTGAGACAGCATTGATTATTGCTGGAGAAACTCCCTTTATGAGAGTTTTGCATGATTATTCCTAAGGAGGTGAGAAGAGGTGTTGCTAGTACTCATGTGCTGGCTGGTCCTCTGTACAGGCGCAGTAGCTCTTCATGCTTGTTCATACATCACGTCTTATTAGTATCTTAAATTTCTACCTGGGCGTGTGTTTTTCACTATTATAATGTGCAAAGGGTCAGTTTGAGGACAGGTAAAATCAAAATGTGGATGCTTTCTAGAAGGGAAAGTCGCTACTGAAGATAGCTTTGCTTGAATGAGCTCAATTAGTGTGAATGCTGAGGTTTACTGTGTTGGCTGTATGATCACGAGAAAATGGTCATTCCCTTCACTACCTGATATGGTTTGGCTGTGTCCCCACTCAAGTCTCATTTTGAATTGTAATCCCCATAATCCCCATGTGTTGAAGGAGGGACCCGGTGGTAGATGACTGGACCATGGGGGTGGTGTTCCCATGATTGCGAATTCTCGGGAGATCTGATGGTTCTATAAATGGTAGTTTTTCCTGTGCTCACACATACACTCTCTCTCTCCTGCTGCCATGTAAAACTTGCCTGCTTCCCCTTCTGCCAGGATTGTAAGGTTTCTGAGGCCTCCCCAGCCTTGGAGAACTGAGAGTCAATTAAACCTATTTCCTTTATAAACTACTCAGTCTTTGGTAGTATCTTTATAGCAGTGTTAGAATGGACTAACACACTCCTATCCTGCCTCATATCTGAGACACATTTTATGAGCATCTCAGATGACTCTGTCACTATTATCTTCTGGACCTTTAGCTGCTTGGCTGCTTCTCCCTTGGCAGCAGATGAGGAAATCAGACAGATCTGAAGCACAAGCAAGTTTGATGCACTGCTGCTGGCTAATAGATGATGGTGAGTGCCACCGGACAAGGGCATGGAAGCTCCCTTAAGAAGCTGAGAGAGGCCTGGGGCTAACAGTCAAAAGGGAAATGGGGGCAATGGAGCACAAGAATTACAACTATAACTGCATGGCCAGCTGAGGTGGCTCACGCCTGTAATCCCAGCACTTTGAGAGGCCAAGGTGGGTGGATCACAAGATCAAGAGCTCCAGACCATCCTGGCCAACATGGTGAAACCCCATCTCTACTAAAAATACAGCAATTAGCTGGGCATGGTGGTATGCACCTGTAGTCCCATCTACTCGGGAGGCTGAGGCAGGAGAATTGCTTGAAGCTGGGAGGTGGAGGTTGCAGTTAGCCAAGATTGAGCCATTGCACTCCAGCCTGGCTACTAAGCGAGACTCTGTCTCAAAAAAACAAACAAACAAACAAAACAAACAAAAAAACTGCATGAGTTTGGTAGCAGATTCTTTTCAGGGGCCTCCAAATAAGTGTAGTCTGACTGACACCTTGATTTTGGCCTTGTGAATCCCATAAGCAGAAAACACAGCTGAGCCAGATATATGACCTATAGAACTGTGAGCTAATACATTTGTGTTACTTTAATTAGCTGGGCATGGTGATGCACACTTGTGATCCCAGCTACTTGGGAGGCTGAGGCAGGAGGATCAGTTGAACTCTAGGAGGCAGAGGTTGCAGTGAGCTGAGATTGCACCACTGCACTCCAGCCTGGGCAACACAGCAAAACTCAGTCTCGTTTAAAAAAAAAAAAAAAAAAAAAAATTAACCAGGTGTGGTGATGTGCACTTGTAGTTGCAGCTACTGGGGAGGTTGAGGTGGGAGGATGGCTTGAGCCCAGGAGTTCGAGGCTGCAGTGAGCCATGGATTGCACTACTACACTCCAGCCTGGGCAACAGAGCAAGACTCCATCTCAAAAAAAAAAAAAAAAAAAAAAAAAAAAAGCCAGGTGTAGTGGTGCGTGCCCGTAATCCCAGCTGTTTGGGAAGTGAATCACCTGACTGTAGGAGGAAGAAGTTGCAGTGAGCCGGGAGTATACCACTGCACTCCACCCTGAGTGACAGTGAGATTTTGTCGCCTCCTCAGAAAAAAGGTTGAGAGGGAACCTCAATTTTATCTGTAATGTTTTCTTTAAGTACATTCAGTATATTAGTATTTGTTAAGTTTGGGTAGTATTTACTATACCACTACTAACATTTCTATTTTTTTCTTTCCTTTTTTTTTTTTTGACATGGAGTTTCATTCTTGTTGCCCAGGCTGGAGTGCAGTGGTTTGATCTCAGCTCACCGCAACTTCCGCCTCCTGGGTTCAAGTGATTCTCCTGCCTCTCAGCCTCCCAAGTAGCTGGGATTACAGGCGCGTGCCACCACACCTGGCTAATTTTTTTTTTTTTTTTTTTTTTAAGTAGAGACAGGGTTTCTCCATGTTAGTCGGATTGGTCTCGAACTTCTGACCTCAGTTGATCTTCCCGCCTTGGCCTCCCCAAGTACTGGGATTACAGGTGTAAGCCACCACGCCTGGCCTACCTTTCTATTTTTAAACACTACAGATTTGTGATGCTATATGGGCCAGATCTTCAAAGTAACTGGTAATAATTTGCATTAAGTTTTCCCTGATGCATTTTCAATTCTACATTTCAAGAGAATTGAACTTTTCTCACTTCTGCACTCTACTCAGAAAAAAACAGAATTTTTATTTTAAAATACATTTAATAAAAATAACCCATAGTTTTACATATTTTACATGTGTAGAATATTTACAAAATCACTTCTACAGCATTTACTTAATGTTTACTATTTTTCTATTATTTGCCTTTTTGACTATTTCTTTCAGTAGTAAAATGTTGTCTAGTGTTCTCTTTAAAAAATCAGTTTCTTGGGCAATCCTCCTAGAAAGCAAAAAGAAAAAAAAAAAGAAGTTGTTCACATTTAACAAAGTTCACATTCTCACAGCAATTTTAACAGTCACTGCTTCCACTTACATTATTTTATTTCGCTGACAGATTTTTCCAATAGCCCTTGTTAAACATTTAGCATACAGTTTACAGATGGGATTTAAGAAGGGAACAAGGTACACATAGATAGTTCTCATAATTCTGAGGTACACATAAAAGTGCCTGCAGTATTCTCAATGAAAGTAAACACACCTAAAACAGCACAGTCTCTCTACTTTATACAATTTAAAGTTGTAAAAATTAAATAGCCAGCAAGCTACACTTCTTTGCTGTTGTTCAGTTGCTAGACATACGTGAGCTATTTGGAGTTTTCTGAATTCATTTAATTTCTTATAAAAGTGGGAATCTTACCTTGTTCCAAGGCATCTGTTCTTTTCCTTTTTGTCGCCAAAGCTGGATTTGATTGCTCCTTTAAGGTTTCCACTGGACAGTTTGGTCTTGGCAGCTGACATCCAGGTGTTGGCCCTGGCCGATTACTGAAATACTTCATTTTCAGTGCCTTTTACAAGAAAAGATACCAAAAGTAAGGTAGGTGAGTACCTGAAATGTGTGAAGGAAAATCTCACCCTCAAGATTATAGGGAGCATTAAAAATACTATGTAAATGCCCTCATTCCCAAAAACAAAACACAATGTCAAGTATTTGCAAATGCAAATTACTAAAAATAAACATCTAGGATCCTAAGATTGGTTGATAATTCCATTACTATAAGAAAAAGACTGTTCAGGCACAGTGGCTCACGCCTGTAATCCTAGTACTTTGGGAGGCCGAGGTGGGCAGATCACATGAGGTCAGGAGTTTCAGATCAGCCTGGCCAACATGGTGAAACCCTGTCTCTAGTAAAAGTACAAAAATTAGCTAGGTGTGGTGGTGCACATCTGTAGTCCCCACAACTTGGGAGGCTGAGGCAGGAAAATCACTTGAACCTGGGAGGTGGAGGTTGCAGTGAGCTGAGATTACACCATTGCACTCCAGCCTGGGTGACAGAGCAAGGCTCTAACCTCAAAAAAAAAAAAAAAGAAAAGAAAAAGAGACTCCCTTCTAATTTTTCCTTAATTAAATAGCCTATTCAGGCTGAATATCTCTTACCTGAAATTCTTGGGCCCAGAAGTGCTTCAGATTTTGGATTGTGGAGTATTTGCATATACATGGGATATCTTGGGGATGGGACCCAAGGTTAAAAATGAAATTTATGTTTCATATACACCTTATACATATAAACTGAAGGCAATTTTATACAATATTTTTGACAAAATTTTTAATTTTTACAAAGTTTGTGTTAATGTCCTTATGTGTGGAATTTTACACTGGTGGCATCATGTCAGCATTCAAAAAGTTTTGGATTTTGGAGCATTTCAAATTTTGGATATTTGAATTAGGGATGCTCAACCTAAACTAATTATGAGCTACACTAAGTGAAATATTATATATATCTATTCTCCACATATTGAGCTCCACAGTTCAAAATGCAAAGAGAGAAACTTACTTAAAAAGAACTTACAAGTTTGCCACACTATCCATATATATTCAAATTCCAAGTCATGTAAAATATAAATTCTTAAAAAATAAGGCTTTAAAAAAAATACAGGCCGGGCGCGGTGGCTCAAGCCTGTAATCCCAGCACTTTGGGAGGCCGAGGCGGGTGGATCACGAGGTCAAGAGATCGAGACCATCCTGGTCAACATGGTGAAACCCCGTCTCTACTAATGGTGCAAAAAATTAGCTGGGCATGGTGGCGCGTGCCTGTAATCCCAGCTACTCCGGAGGCTGAGGCAGGAGAATTGCCTGAACCCAGGAGGCGGAGGTTGCGGTGAGCCGAGATCGCGCCATTGCCCTCCAGCCTGGGTAACAAGAGCGAAACCCTGTCTCAAAAAAAAAAAAAAAAAAAAAAAAAAAAATACAGGTTAGAACCAATGGATTCTAATTCAACAACCCACTGCAAATGGACAGAAATTTTACTTGGAAGGGCTTATCCAAGATTATTTCTATTAATTACCAGGCCAATGTTCTATGATATATTTTCTCTTTTTTTACCCCTAGTATAGTGCTGTAGATATGACAGTTTCTTGAGTTGGGCCTACAATTCTGATAAAAATAGTTATGTCCTAAATGACAAGTTTGTCAGGTCATGCTTGTCTTTTCTGTTTTTGTTTTTTTGTTTTTTTGTTTTTTGTTTTTGAGACGGAGTTTCGCTCTTGTTACCCAGGCTGGAGTGCAATGGCGCAATCTCGGCTCACCGCAACCTCTGTCTCCTGGGTTCAGGCAATTCTCCTGCCTCAGCCTCCTGAGTAGCTGGGATTACAGGCACGCGCCACCATGCCCAGCTAATTTTTTGTATTTTTAGTAGAGACGGGGTTTCACCATGTTGACCAGGATGGTCTCGATCTCTCGACCTTGTGATCCACCCGCCTCAGCCTCCCAAAGTGCTGGGATTACAGGCTTGAGCCACCGCGCCCGGCCTGTTTTTTTTTTTTGATACAGAGTCTTACTCTGTCACCCAGCCTGGAGTTCAGTGGTGCAGTCTTGGCTCACTGCAACCTCTGCCTCCTGGGTTCATATGCTTGTCTATTTACATCAGCAGCATAGTGCTGTCCAGTGGCTACAATGATTTAAAATACTTCTGGCCAGGCACGGTGGCTCACGCCTGTAATCCCAGCACTTCAGGAGGCCAAGGCAGATGGATCACCTGAGATCAAGAGTTCAAGAGCAGCCTGGCCAACATGGTGAAACCCTGTCTCTACTAAAAATACAGAATTAGTTGGGTGTGGTGGTATGCACCTGTAATCCCAGCTACTAGGGAAGTTGAGGTAGGAGAATCACTTGAACTTGGGAGCTGATGGTTGCAGTGAGTCAAGATCACGCCACTGCACTCCAGCCTGGGTGACAGAGCAAGACTCCATCAAATAAATAAAACATATAAAATTACTTCCTTTAGGATAATCCTTTAAGAAAGAAGAATGAAGCTCATATAAACTTTTCAAGCATTCCCCACTGTCCCCAGTATTATAATAGTTTCAGTCATTTAGAGATTTCTTCCTTCAATGGCTGCATTTTAAAATTTATTTATTTATTTATTGCAGAGCTGATGTCATGTTGCCCAGGGCTCCAACTCCTGGGCTCAAGCTATCCTGCTCCTTGGCCTCCCAAAGTGCTGGGATTATAAGTGTGAGACACTGCACCTGGCCCACAGTGGGATTTTTAAAGCATTACTTCTAAATCACAGTGGTCCTATATGCAAATTAGGCTAATTCTGGGCGACATAATAAATATCTAAGAAAGTAACTCATTCCAACTTTAATAAAGACATCCATGATACAAAAACTCACTTTAAAAACTTCATCCTATTAAAATACAACCCAAATATAACAACTAGTATTTTTCTATAAGTTTCAAACTATACTCCCAATGAAAACAACTTTCTAGATAATTAAATATGGTCTCAAGTTTGTTATGATGGAAATTATATACATAGAGGTATGAGTGAAAAGGCAACAAATTACTTGTATTAAATTAGAAGAGCATGTGTACATATGGACATAAAAATAACAAAGAAAAATTTTTAAAAAAATGAGAAGAGTAATTCTAATGGTAAATACCCAGCATCCATCCATCCATCCATCCATCCATCCGCCCATCCGTCCATCCGTCCATCCATCCGTCCATCCATTTCTATATACACATATCACGTATTGGTAAAAGGAGAAGGCTTATACAAGCAAATGCATTAAAGAATGATTTTGTAGCCTGGAACAAACCTAAGGGCTGGCTGGGTGGGGGGGGGGCAACATCTATTTTGTATCCTTAATATTACTGTACATTAATATGTTTCCATAAAGGCTTGTGATACTTATTACTCTCTCCCTACATCAGGTAAAAAATCACTGCACTGTGTTGTACAATGCTCTGCCCTAAGTTATTCTAGGCCCTTCAAATTTGTCATGAGTTTCATTGTTCTTTCCTTTAAATAGCAGTTGGTTTCAGTTTTTGTTTTATTTTGAGTATCTTTCAAGCTCTTGTAAGCATACAATTATATCTGATTATACCATTTTCTGAATGTGAAAATGACCAGCATGCATACCTGGATTGCATTATATAGGGAAGAAAAAATAAGCTGAATAAATTACTTTCAGTATTAGGCTTGCTACAAGATTTAAATGAATTTGTAAGAGTGCAACTGAAATATACCAGTTTCTTAACAAATAAAAAGCCTTGGTTTTCTTTCCCTCTCTAGGTAAAGTATTTACAAACCAATCATATGAAATAGATATGTATTTATCTAAGCAAGTGTATTAAGTGTAAACTCTCCTGTATCTGTGTGCATATAACTTAATCTCAGTCTTAACAGTGTTTGTAGTTTGGGGAAAAAATACAAAGTTTGATATTTCCTAAAACAAACAAAAACACATCTTTCCAGTATTTAAAAAAGGTTAATTTTATGAAATTCTATTTTTATCAATGCTACAGTTAAGATTATTTCTATATTTCCTAGTATAAAAAAGATATGGTAAAATACCTGTGTGGCCGTAATTCGAGCACATGGATTAAATAAGAATAAGCCTTGTATGAGATCTAGTAAGTCGTCTCCTGCTGCACTGAAGATATGATGCAATGGAATTCCAGGAAAACTCTTAAATGTCACATAATCTGGAAGACTACACATGTCCTGTAAAAATAATTTTATAATTCAAACTGAAGGTTGAAAGGCATGTAGATCTCAAATGAAATTAATCATATTTTCAGGTGATATGACAGTTTATGTAGAGAATTTCAGGAAATCTATTAAGAAGTCCTAGAACTAGTAGTAAGGCAAGGCTGGAAGAATACAAAATGAAAATTAAATCAATTTTAATTCATTATAGTAGCAATGAATGTATGGACATCAAAATTTAAAACACGGTACTATTTATAATCACCCCAAAAAGAAAAATAAAACAGGTGAAAAATGTAACAAAACATATATAGGGTAATATACTAGGAGCTGTACAATGCTAATGAAACAAATCCAAAGATCTTAATAAATTCGAAACATACCATGTTCACATATTGGAATATTCAACAGAGGAAGGATGTTAATTCCCCTCAAATTGATTTGCAAGTTAGATGTAATTTTTATCAAAATCCTGGCAAAATTATTTTAGATTTAAGACCAATGATTCTACAATATATAAAGGCAAAAGACTACAGTAGCTAAAATGATTTTGAAAAAGAACAATAAAGTGGGAGGACTCACTTTACCTGATTTCAAGATTTAACATATAGCTACTTTAATTAAGACTGTGTTGTACTGGGGGAGAAACAGATACATAAATTAGACTTAGAAAGGACTTAATCAATAAAGGAACCCATAAAGGACTTAGAAATCCACACAAATCTGCCAAAAGGATTTTTGTAAAAAGTAAAAAACTTACCTCTCAGAAGTATCTTTTTTTTTTTAAATAAGAAAAAAAAAGAAAAGAAAAATGTGAAAAAATCAATGAAGGGACAGTCTTTTCAACAAATAGTGCTGTAGCACTTGGACATATACAGGCAAAAATCTGAACTTGGCTTGGTGTGGTGGTTCACGCTTGTATTCCCAGCACTTTGGGAGTCTGAGGCAGGAGGGTCACTTGAGCTCAGGAGTTCGAGACCAGCCTGGACAAGAAAGTGAGATTCCCACTCCAGCCTGGGCAATGGAGTAAGACTGTCTCAAAACACAAAAAAAAACAAAAACAAAAACAGAACCTTGCCCTAAGTCTCACACATCCTATAAAGATAAACTCTAAAGAGATCTTGGACTCAAGTGTAAAACTACAAAACTTGTAGGAAAAAAATACAAAAAAATTGTCATGGCCGGGGCACAGTGGCTTATTGCCTGTAATCCCAACATTTTGGGAGTCCAAGGCGGGCAAATTGCTTGAGTTTACAAGTTTGAGATTAGGCTGGGCAACATGCAGAAACCCTGTCTCTACAAAAAATACAAAAAACTAGTTGGGCGTTGTGGTGCATGCCTACAGTTCCAGCTACTCAGGAGGCTGAGGTGGGAGAATGGCTTGAGCCCGGGAGGTGGAGATTACAGTGAGCCGAGATCACGCACGCCACTGCACTCCAGCCCAGACAATAGAGCCAGATCTTGTCTCAAAAAAAAAAAAAAAAAAAAAAATTGTCAGGAAAATCTTTGGGTTGGGCAAAAGAGTTCTTTGACTTGACACCAAAAGGACTGATCAATTAAAGAAAAAGTGACAAACCTGAGTACAATTTTGTAGAGGATGAAAAGGCAGCACGAGGGAAAACATCTGCAAACTACATATACTTTTTGGACTACTATCTAGAATATATGGAGAGCTCTTAATACTCAACAGTCAAAAATCAAAGAATCCAATCAGAAAATGGGGAAAAGACAGGAAGAACCATTTAACTAAAGATGGCAAATAGACACATGAAAAGATAATTTAACACCATTAGCCATTACTAGGGCAGTGAAAATTAAAATGAGCTGTCATGACACACTCATCAGAGTGCCTACAATTAAAAAGTGACACCACCAAATGCTGGAGAGGATTCTGAGAAACTGGTGCAGTCATTTACTGCTAGTGGGAATATAAAACAGTATAGCTGCTCTGGAGTTTTGCAGGTTGCTTTAAAAATTAGTATGTAGGCCGGACGCGGTGGCTCACGCCTGTAATCCCAGCAGTTTGGGAGGCCGAGGTGGGTGGATCACAAGGTCAAGAGATCGAGACCATCCTGGTCAACATGGTGAAACCCTGTCTCTACTAAAAATACAAAAAATTAGCTGGGCATGGTGGCGCGTGCCTGTAATCCCAGCTACTCAGGAGGCTGAGGCAGGAGAATTGCCTGAACCCAGGAGGCGGAGGTTGCGGTGAGCCGAGATCGTGCCATTGCACTCCAGCCTGGGTAACAAGAGTGAAACTCCGTCTCAAAAAAAAACAAAAAACAAACAAAAAAAAATTAGTATGTAACTACCATATGAATCAAGAACTGAACTCCTGGGCAATTTATCCCAGAGACATAAAAACTTATTCTTACATAAAAAACTGTACATGAATGTTTATAGCATATATATTGGTAACAGCCCCACATTGGGAACAACACAAATACAGATGTCCTTCAATGGGTGAATGGTTGAACAAACTGTGAAATAAATCCACACAATACTAGCCAGTTAAAAAAAAAAAAGAATGAATTTCCATTATAAGGGGTATGAAAAAGTTAATCCCAAAAAGCTATATATTATGTGATTCCATTTATCCATTTACGTAACAGTCTTGAAATGACAAAATTACAGAGCTAGAGGACGTATTTAGTGATTGCCAAGAGTTGAGTGAGTAAGAGGAAAGTGAGTATAGCTACAGAAGAATACCATGAGAGATTCTTGTGGTGATATTCTGCATCTTGACTGTAACATCCTGGTGTGATAACTGTACTGATTTTACAAGATGCTCCCATCTTTAAAAGCTAGGTAAAGGGTACGTGAAATATGTCTGGAGTATTACTATTATCATTTTGAGACAGGGACTCACTCTGTTACTCAGGCTGGAGCACAGTGTCACAATCACAACTCACTGCAGCATTGACCTCCTGGACTCAAGCGATCCTCCTATGTCAGCCTCCTGAGTAGCTGGGACCATATGTGTGCACCACTATGCCTATTTTTTTTTTTTAATTTTTATGTTTTATAGACATGAAGTCTCACTATGTTGCCCATCCACTAAGTTGGATGGTATATCCATCCTGGTCTTAAACCTCTGGGCTCAAGTGAACCCACTCACTTCAGCTTCCCAAAGTGCTGGGATTACAGGCGTGAGCCACCGTGCCCAGCCACAATATATAATTGTGAATTATATATTCACAATTGCATGTGAATATATAATATTCTCAAAATAAGAAGTTTAATTTTTTTTTTTTTTTTCTGGAGACGGAGTCTTGCTCTATAGCCCAGGCTGGTCTCAAGTGATCTGTCTGCCTCAGGCTCCCAAAGTGCGGGGATTACAGGTGTGAGCCACCACACCCCACCAAGAAGTTTAATTTTTAAAAAAAATTGAAGAGAAACATCAGTAAGCAATTACTATTTAGAAAATCATGTTAGCCAGGTGTGATGGCTCATGCCTGTAATCCCAGCACTTTGAGAGGCCAAGACAGAACTGCTTGAGTCTAGGAGTTTGAGACCAGCCTGGGCAACATGGTGAAACCCCATCTCTATAAAAAAAAAATACAAAAATTAATTTTGTAGCATGCATATACACTCCTAACACAGCTTTACATTGAATTGTTAATAGTGATTACCCCGAGGTTGGGATTACTGGGGTGGGGAAAAAGGACTACATGTACACGAGAGGTTGGATGGTGTATCACAATTTAACTTTATATTTTACATACTTGATAATTTAAAATGTTCTGAGTACATATTACAAGAAAATTGTAATTAATAAAGGTCTAATATTCATGTGACAGCACTATATAAAGTATATGACAATTTAAAAACTTTACGGAATCCTGATTACATTTCAAAGAAAATGCATAAAGGCTTACTGGCCACTGTTCCTCAGTTGGTGTGCCCAAAGTTTCAAATATTCTCGTTAGCTGATCAAGGTCTGAATCTCCTGGCAAAAAAGGAACCTGAAAGAAAGAGGCAGACTTTTCAAGGTGGGTTTTTTTCTTCTTAGAGACAGAGTCTCACTGTGTCACCCAAGCTAGAGTGAGTGATGTGATCCTGACTCACGGCAACCTCCTCCTGGTTTCAGGAGATTTTCCTTTTTCAGTCTCCCAAGTAGGTGGGACTACAGGGGCGCACCACCATGCCTGGCTAACTTTTGTATTTTTAGTAGAGATGGGGTTTTTGTCATGTTGGCCAGGCTGGTCTTCAAGTCTTGATCTCGAGTGATCCACCCACTTTGGTCTCCCAAAGTGCTGGGATTACAGGCATGAGCCACCACACCAGGCTTTGAGGTGGTTTTTGATACTTGTTAGACAACTACTATAAATTTAATAAATATATTTTTTAAACTAAAAAACTCTGCAAGAAATATTGAAAATTTAGTATGAAATATATTGGATATGTTATTAGATCCTGCCACTGCTAACCAACTAAACAGCACCTTTACTATCCATTTTATTCACTCCAAATTTTAATAAACACCATGTAACAAGCATTGCGCTAAGCCTCAGGAATTAAAAGAGGAAAACAAAGCATTTCCTGTCCTCCCCAGAGGTGGAGATGGTGAGCAATGCTGATACACATAAACAAGCATTTACAATTCCGTGGGTTGAGAGAGTACAAGATCCTAGACCACGCCGGATGGTGGTGGTCTTACTCTAGATGGGTCAGGAAAACTTCCTAGAGCAAGTGGCATGAAAAGTGAAGGATGAATAGGAGTTAGCCTGGGGAATAGTCTAAGATGGAAGAAGAAAACTAATCTCGCAAAAGACAGTCACAAAGGCTGAGAAGGAAGAGAATACATCAATCATAATTATGCAACTGCTTAAACTCTTTCTTTGAAGAGGTGTAAAGGCAAACTTTAGAAGAGGACAAATAATTACAAGTTAAAAATTAGTAACCTTTATTAGAACCTAAAAAAAAACTGGTGAGCTGATAAGACAGGATCAATATCCCTGCTATCCATAGACATTACTGTCCAACTCACTTTCATATCTACATAACTATATGAAAGATATACTGTGAATAACAATGGCCTCCAACACTGTTAAGGAACAGTTTATAGACTCAATGGGAAGATATGACATTACCATATCGCAAACATTTTGATTACTGTGGACTCTTACCAGAAAAAAACAAAACAACCAACCCTAGTGCCAGTTATCAATGTATAGCTTTTCAGTTCCAAATTCACCTTTTTTGCTTTCTTCATGAAAATGGTTCTAGGCTCTTTAAATATTTTTCCATTTACAATAAATAAGCTTTGTCAATAGAGGATGATGGACAGACAGTACAGGAAGGAAAAGGTTTTGCTTCCTGGTTCCAGTTTGCTTGCTCAGTTGACTCCTGCAGCACCCACAGGTGTTTCTGCAGCATGGGCAGAACAGACAGTTTCTCCAGTGCTGCTCCTGCAGTACACAGAGGCCAGCTGGACCCCTACTTTACCCTGTCAAGCAGTTTTCTAGCAGGGTACTTCCACAGAGACATCTTTCGCCAGAATCCTAGAGCCAGAGTGCCAGCCCTTTCCAATAAGCAGATTTCTAGCAAGTCTTACCAGCAAAAACCCACAGTAATTTCTCTGCCTTCTGGTGAGCCACATTTGCCATATTCAACAAGGTCTAGATCTCAGTCCTGGAGGTAGTCTTCCCTGGGTGATCTGTCTTGGCCCTAGGGTAGTGGTGGCAGGTCCTTATATCTGCTATTCCTATATTGTTAGAGTTCTTGTTACTTCTCGTCAATCCATTACTCCAGTCCACCAGTATAATTAATACTTCTTTATACTGTATACTTTCCTGATCAATGTAGGGTTTCTATTTTCTGACTGGACCTGGATTTAGTATAATTCCTAAAGTATATAACACTGTACTATTATATTCTGTATATTAAATTTACACGAAAAATAGAAACTAAAAGGATGTTGACTGGCCATGGTGGCTCACGCCTGTAATCCCAGCACTTTGGGAGGTCAAGGTGGGCAGATCAGCTGAGGTCAGGAGTTTAAGAAGAGCCTGGCCAACATGCTGAAACCATGTCTCTCCCAAATATACAAAAATTAGCTGAGGGTGGTGGTACATGCCTATAGTCCCAGCTCCTCAGGAGGCAGAGGCAGGAGAATCGCTGGAACCTGGGAGGCAGAGGCTGCAGTGAGCAGAGATGGAGCCACTGCACTCCAGCCTGGGTGACAGAGCAAGAATCTGTCTCAAAAAAAAACTGAAAGGACATTAAATAATATTACAACTAATTTTAGACATGCTAATTTTCTTATACCCAAAAGGATTACCTTATCTTTTGTCTTTTGTAGGGCACCTGTACCCTACCTTCACTTTGCAGGCCAAATTGTGGACAAGCTCGCAATTTAAACAAAGTTTAAGGATGCTTTGTATGATGTAAAAATAAAACTAAGCTGTCTAATGTGTGGGATTTTATATCCCAATTTGAACAAGCCTAATATAAAAGACATTTATAAGAAAAATCTGAATACAGACTCAATTGTGTTGTTGTTTTTTTTTTTTTTGAGACAGAGTTTCGCTCCTGTTGCCCAGGTTGGAGTGCAATGGCGCGATCTTGATTCACCACAATCTCTACCTCCTGGGGTCAAGCGATTCTCCTGCCTCAGCCTCCCAAGTAGTTGGGATTACAGGCATGCGCCAACACACCCAGCTAATTTTTTTGTATTTTTAGTAGAGACGGGGTTTCTCCATGTTGGACAGGCTGGTCTTGAACACCCCACCTCAGGTGATCCACCTGCCTCAGCCTCCCAAAGTTCAAGGATTACAGGCCTGAACCATGGCGCGTGGCCTCAGACTTGATTTTATTAAGGAATCAATGTTCATTTTTTCATATGACAATGGTATTGTGGTTATGACTAAAGAATCCTTATAGATGGGCAGGTGTGGTGGCTCACTCCTCTAATGCCAGCACTTTGGGAGGGTGGAGCAATTGAGGCTAGGAGTTTGAGAACAGCCTGGTCAACATCATGAAACCCTGTTTTAACTAAAAAATACAAAAATTAGCCAGGTGTCATGGTGCATACCTGTAATCCCAGCTACTTGAAAGGCTGAGGCATGAGAATTGCTTGAGCCTGGGAGGCAGAGGTTGCAATGAGCTGAGATCATGCCACTGCACTCCAGCCTGGGTGGCAGAGTGAGACTCTGTTTCAAAAAAAAAAAAAAAAAAGAATCCTTATAGAGAAAAATACTACTAAAGAAACATGGATAAGATTACATGCTTGGGATTTTTGACAAAAATATCTACTGTGGGAGAGAGATCCAAGATGGCTGATCACTAGCAGCTCGGGATTGTAGCTCCCAGTGAAAACGCAAAGAACGAGAGGACGCCACACCTTCACATGAATTCTTGTTGTTCACGCACCAGGAGATTCCCAGCGGAGGAGCCCCATGGGTCGCCAGCGCGACTCTTGTGACCGGCGAGGCGGTTTTGCCAGCGCCTCGGAGCATCGGTTCTTGGTGCAGAGTCAGAAAAGCACCATCAATCTTAACGCCGCTGATTTAGCGCAGTGGGTTGCTCAGATTTCGGCGCTGAGAATCAATAAGTCGGACGTCCACTCAGAAAACCAATTACAAAGACGGTAATTATAAAGACCACAGATGGATAAATCTACAATGAAGGGAAGAAAACAGTCAAAAAAGACTGAGAATACCCAAGATCAAAACGCCTCTTCCTCAGCAGGGGATCCCAGTTCCTCATCAGCAACGAAACAAGGCTTGATGGAGAACGAGTGTGTTCCAATTACAGAAGCAGGCTTCAAAACGTGGATAATAAGAAACTTCTGTGAATTAAAAGAACTTGTTCTAACACAATCTAAAGAAACTAAGAACTTTGAAAAAAGGTTTGACGAAATGTCAACAAGAATACAAAATTTAGAGAGGAAAATAAGTGAATTGATGGAGCTGAAAAAAACAATACGAGAACTACGTGAAGTATGCACAAGTTTTAACAGCCGAATTGATCAAGCAGAAGAAAGGATATCAGAGGTCGAAGTCCAACTCAATGAAATAAAACTAGAAGACAAGATTAGAGAAAAAAGGATAAAAAGGAACGAGCAAGGTCTCCAAGAAATATGGGACTATGTGAAAAGACCTAATCTACGCTTGATAGGTGTACCTGAATGTGACGAAGAGAATGAATCCAAGCTGGAAAATATGCTTCAGGATATTATTCAGGAAAATTTTCCCAACTTAGTAAGGCAGGATAATATTCAACTCCAGGTAATACAGAGAACACCACAAAGATATTCCTCAAGAAGAGCAACTCCAAGGCACATAATCGTCAGATTCACCAGGGTTGAAATGAAGGAGAAAATATTAAGGGCAGCCAGAGAGAAAGGTCAGGTTACCCACAAAGGGAAGCCTATCAGACTTACAGCAGATCTCTCAGCAGAAACCCTACAAGCCAGAAGAGAGTGGGGACCAATATTCAACATCCTTAAAGAAAAGAACTTTCAACCAAGAATTTCACATCCAGCCAAACTAAGCTTCATAAGTGAAGGAAAAATAAAGTTTTTTGTGAACAAGCAAGCACTCAGAGAATTCATCACCACCAGGCCTGCTTTACAAGAGCTTCTGAAAGAACCACTACACATAGAAAGGAACAAACAGTATCAGCCTTTCTAAAAAATATCAAAAAGCAATATATCATTATTAATTCTAAATTTAAATTGACTAAATTCCCCAATTCAAAGACAGACAGGCAATTTCGACAAAAAACTAAAACTGTATGCTGCATCCAGAACCATCTCACATTCAAGGATACACAAAGACTCAAAACAAGGGATGGAGAGAGACTTACCAACCAACCAGAGAGCAAAAATAAATAAATAAAAAGCAGAAGTTACAATTTTCGCCCCTGATAAAATAGTATTTAAAGCAACAAAGATCAAAAGAAGCAAAGAAGGACATTATATAATGATAAAAGAATCAATGCAACAACAAGAAGAGTTAAA